TGATGCGGGTCAGGTCAATCATTGGCCTTCAGTTCACTGTGAGCAGCATCACCATGGTTGTTGGGAAGAAAGCACCTGATGTTTTCATGATGTACAACTGTTGTATTCATGATCTTAACCCCCTTGAGCAGCCTGTGCGTACGTGATTCGGAGTAGTTTGCGGAGACATGTGTGACGATGTCCATGGCGGGCTGTTTGGTCCATCGTCGGAATGCGCAACAAAAGAAATGCAGACCCTAGAAGTCCAAAGACTATTTTTTGACCGGCTGGAGTAAAGGAAGTGTCCTTTCAGTTCCCCGAAAGACCATTCTTTTTATAGTCTTTGACTCCCAGGGCAGAGATTTTCCGATGGTGTCCGCCCGTTAGAGCTTGAACCTCGTTCCTCTTTTACCGCTGGATCCGAAGCGGTGAAAAAAAACGTCCGGAATGCACCGAACGAAGAACACGCCCGAGGCCATGGAAGCGGCACGGGCCTCGACGAACGACGCGAACACCACTGGTTCGCCTGCGGGGCCTTGAAGATGCGGATGAAGGCAGTTCAGAGCTCCGCGACGTCATCCGTACCCACAGTTTTTTTCGTAGGCAAGAAAGGCTTCTCTTGAAGGCAAGGAAACCAACCACAAAGAGCGGGAACTCTGGGATTGAGCTGAGAATCCTGAGAGCTCTTTCAAAGACGGTTTTGTGGCCTGACACTATCAATGGTATTCTGATGGATTCCAGAAAAGAAAAATTAACTCTGCAAACCTTCCAGCTCTTCAATATGTTTTGCCATGTCCTGTCGCTTTTTGGCATGAGCATGTCTGCCTTGGAGGATTTGCCGCAACAAGAGGATTTGCCCTTAAGGATGGCATGAAGAAGCATGACCATCACACGAAGAGGTGAAGCTTTGTGAGTTTTTTCCTCCCCGCTCCAATCCCTCTCCTTCACACTGCAGGCGCAGCAGGCGCAGCTGCTGGCGCACTGCCACCAGAGCTTGGAGAGTCGCTTGGAGACAACGACAAAGACGACAAGATGGGAGGACGTGGTGAAGGATGCCTCGGGATCGAAGATGGTCGAAAAGGATCATCCAAGAGGTCGAACAGCCTGAACATGCCCGAACCAATACATCTAAGTATTTGAATCGTTTTGGAATCTATTTCAATTTGTTTGTTTTCTGTTTGAGGTGTTTTTTGAAATTCACACCATCTGTGGCCGAAGCAGTCGGAACTACGTTTCAGTGAGGACCTTTTCTCCCAGGAGTGAACGGAGTGAACCACCCAAGGGACTCAGCTGGTTGTAAATCAAGTTGTGCAAATGGGTATGGGATGAGCGTAACTAAAATGAGAAGCTGTGAGGCGAACCCCCCACACCAGGAGGGCCCTCTGGCCTACAAATCAGAATTTCACCTCACCGAATCAGCCTCAGCCTTCCTTGCTCTTGATAGACATCATGATAGACATCGATGATAGACATCATGTCGTCCGGGTCCTGTGGATCGACCTCCTTTGAGGTGGTGTGCCTTGTACATCAACTTGGACCGCCGCGCGGATCGCAAAGGCGGGCTCGGGTTCGAACCGACCGGTGGAACTGGAACATGCGACCGGCAAGCGAGCGGCGCCACCGGTGTGCGAAGGGGCGGAAGGAAGGCCCACGAAAGAGAGAGAGGTGGCGGAGGTGTGTGGAAGAGTTTTTCTTTTTGGCACGGGCATTTGTCTGGAATCACGTGGAATCCTAGCTGCTAGCTGCTAGGACCAAACTTCCGCGGCCGAGAAAAGGTATGTGAACTGCGAGCAGTGGAATAATCATGCGAGAGCGATGAATTTCGCCCGATGACCCTTTTTCAACTCAAGCACTCATGCCCCACATACATGTTCGATCGGCCATATCGTTGATCTTGGGATACGTGTTGGGGCGACAATCCTCACAGTGGAGTGAACCAGTGACAGGCTTCGACTTGAGATTGCTGACTGAAGAGTTGACCAACACACGTGTCGCCCTGCAATCAACGAACGGCTGCGAGGAAGACTTGAGAGCTGAAATTCGACATTCGTCTGTTCTGAGTGTGGTTTTCAGAGGGCTGCTTGCGGTTGAGTGTTTACTGTTGGCATCCTACTGGTTGATCGGCTGTCTTCATTCTCGCCGGATCGTCCCCCGGGCTGCGATTCAAGAGGCCGCTGGGGACTCAGAGATAGACACCCCATCCAGTTCAAGAACAGACACACCCAGTGCATCTAGCCCAACGCGGCGATCAGGACCGGTCAGACCTTCGGACCTCCGTCGGCATGGCCGCAGCCGTGATGACATTGGACATCCCGGAAATACAGGTGATAGTTGAATATGCTGCTGACCCAAACGCCTTTTATTGGCACCACAGGGTATTGCTGCACAAGCTGGCCAATGGCATCTGGCTAGCACTCACGCCGGATATGGACGTGGTCCGCCATGACCTAAACAACCAGAATCACATCGTTCTAGAGAGAAATTCTTATTTCCCTCGGGCTCAGGCACCATATGTCTACGCGATGGACCCTGTCTCCCGAGCTGTGCTTGAATCAAAGAAGAGAACGGCGCGGAACCAAGCCATTGTCTTGGGAGATGAGGACATGATTGACATCGCTCAGACTGTGTGGCTGGTAGCACAGCCAGGCCACCCGAGTTTTGGTGAGACAATTCCGCGAGATGTGGTGGAGGACAATCAGATTTCCATAGTGTTTGAGTCAAAGGGGGTGACCCTGAGGGATGGTGAAGAGGTCTTCATACAGATGATGCAGGCTTCAGAAGTTGAAGAATTCAAGAAGGGGCAACAGAGTGAAGAGCAAGATTCTCGCATCCTAGGAGTGCACACGGACAAGTCAGGCAAAAGACGCTTGGAGTTGGATGACGGACTCTTGCTGATGAGAGAAGACAAGATGGACGACTTCCCCCTGGGAGGTGACATTCGAGCAGTCAAAAAGTTCCTTGAGGCAGTGTTAGAAGGGCCGGGAAACCTACCTCGCTACCACGTAGACTGGCAGCGGTTGAGTGGGATCTCAGACACATCAAGCATCAGCTTCGCGCACAAGCATCTCTGTGAAATGTTGCGATTAATGATTTCCTATGACCAGGTGAACCCATGCAACTTGGCGAGCGCAGAGTATCTAGTGAGGTGGTTGATTCAGCTTGAGACTGCAGTTGAGAGGAATCCTCGAGCTCCGTCCTTCCATGGATTGGAGCTGATCATGGGCGGCCCCACCACAGCCGAAGGAAAAGCAGTGACCAGAAAGTTCACCGAGCACTTGACAGCACTCCTCAAGACCCGTGCATCCATTTGGAAACAAGAGAGGCTGTACCAAGAAGAACTCCGGCATCAAGCTGGTCCATCCTCTCGTGCCGACAAAGGGGACGGAAAGGGGTGAGGTGCTGGCAAGGGCAAAGGAAAGGGGAAGACAGACAAAGGCGGGAAGGGAGAAGCTCTCCCTCCCGCCACCTCGGCATGAGGCAAGGGTGGCCCGGGTCATCGCACAGAGGGGACGCTCTGATGGCCTGGGAAGGACAGTCCCCACTCATAAGTGCATGTGCTGAGACAGTGAGTCGAGACCGCCGACATGGTGATCCATTTCCACTGCCTCTCCAAGCTATGAATTCAGTAGACCCCGAACCGGGGATTCAACTACGCCTGCAGCTGATGAACGAGGCTGTGAAGTCAGTCAACGGATTGGCCGGCTCAATGATGAATTCGCGCAAGTATCCGAAGCGCTCACATGGCTCTTGGTCACCCACCTTTGTGCAGCAAGTGGTCTTGAAGGACATGGAGGAGAGAGTTTCAAAGTTCGCTTGCTGTCCACTCGAAATGAGGGAGGAGGATGCCTTGAAGGAACTGACCAAGAGCGCAAACCTGTATTCGCAGGAGGCCAGCCACCTAGCCTCCTTTGATGTGGGTCGCATTAAGATCTTCAAGAGGAGGCTGCGACCAATGGACGCATCGGCCCTTTGTCCGCCAAATGTCAGGGAGATGTTGAAGCACCAGGCTCAGTTCATCGAGAAGACAGACGAAGAAATTCAGCTTGGTGAGGTAACCGGGCCAGTGGAACCCTACTGGGATCCGGTGTTGAAGAAAGACAGAGAGAAGAGGAAAGAGCTGTATATCGCCCTGTGGAACTCTGGATTGCTTTGCTTTAGACGGCGTCGCAAGTCAACCATTGGTTTTTTTACAGTTCACAAGAAAGACGGCATGCAGAGATTGATCCTTGACTGTAGAATAGCAAATACATGTCACAAGAGACCGCCAACAACCAGACTGGCAACACCCGCTTCCTTCCGTGGAATTGACATGACCGAAGACACCTTCAGCAGTCGTGGCTTTGGGGGGATCATGGGCGATGCAGCTGGAAATGAGGGGGACGTCGGCGATTGTTTCTACAATTTTGCTATTCCTGGTCTAGCTTCTTATGTTGCCACCAGAGATGCCTTTACCACTTGGGAGTTGGAGCGTATGGGGAATGCTGCCACAAACCTTCTATGATGAGGAACTTGGTAGAGTGGTGCAACCTATCCCTGGCGAAAAGTTGATCCCTTGTTTTCAAGGCATTCCAATGGGCTGGACATGGGCTCTCCACATTAGCAACGAGATTGTCTCCTACCAGGTCAGCTTAGCATTGCGGGGATGCGTGTCTGGTGAGATCAGAGACAAACAACCTGCGCCTGAACTTGAAAAAGGAGGCACGCTTGTGGGAACCTATGTGGATAATGTCCAAGTCCTTGGGGGAAGCAAAGAAGATGTGGACTCGCACATGGAGCGCATAGTAGCCTGGTTTGAGAAACTTGGCATCCCCTTTACAACGGCAGGAGAAGAAGCTTTGGCTGAGTTTGAAACCTTGGGCATGGTTTTTGACATGAAAAATCGGTGCATCCGACACCGGACTCGCAGGGCGTGGCGGTTGTACTTGGCAACCAGGGCTTTGCTTAGACGTGGCCGCGTCTCAGGAGAAGTTCTGCGGGTCTGGCTGGGACATGTTGTCAACCACTTCCAACTCATGAAACCAGCCACGTCATGCCTGCATGCGTGTTATAGGTTCGTTCAAGCTGCGCTGAGCAGGCGCGCCTGGGTTTGGCCTTCGGTGCGGTCTGAGATGAGGCTTGTGATGGGGCTCATTTTTTTGGGGCAGCTTGACTGGGCCAGTGAATTTTGCAACACTGTTTACATTGGTGACTCTTCAACCTACGGGTACTCCTTGATGAGAACGAGCGCCTCCCGACATGATGTCGGTGGCATGGCCCCCATGTGCTGAGAGATTGGAAGAAGAGAAAGAAACAAGAAAGTGGCAGTGTGGACAAAGAGGCCCGCGCAGACAAGACTCCAGAGAAGATGGAGCTTGAGATCAGTCCTTTGCATGTAGAAGACATGAGCAATGACTCTGAGAACTTCGAGAACAAAACGGGATGGAGCTTGCCAAAAGCACTTGTGGCTTATCTACCTTTGTTTTTCTTGGAGCTTTTTTCGGGAAGCGGGAAGTTGACATCGGCATTTCAGGCTACAGGCATGGCATGTCTCTACCCTTTTGAAATACACCAGGGCTGGGAGTTTGATTTGACTAGACCTGCGACTCAAGCTCTGATTTTGGAGATGATCCAAGCTGGGCTCATCTGGTATATACATGCTGGAGTGCCCTGCACAGTTTGGTCAGTTGCCAGGCGAGGGATCACCAACCATCCCCGCGCTCGGGCCAGGGAAGAGGTGTCTGTTGAGCTCACAATGTTCTGCGTAGCAGCTTTTAGAGCATTGTCACGACTGGGAAGGTATTGGAGTTTAGAGAACCCTGCGTCCTCAAGACTGTTCCAATTCAGACCGGTTGTAGACTTGTTTGGGCTACCAGCAGTTCACCTTGTGACCTGGGACATGTGTGCATGGGGAGAACCTCACAAGAAGCCAACGTCGCTGTTGACAAACATGACAAGTCTCAGCTCCTTGGCCCAAAGATGTAGGCGAGATCATCCTCACCGTTTGCTGTCAGGACAAGAACCATATAGAACGGCCGATGGCAAGCTGAAGTGGAGAAGCAAGACATCGGCAGCGGGCGAATACCCTCTAGGCCTGTGCCGCGCATGGGCACTGGCCGCTAGGGAGAATGCCCCTAGCGCTGCGTGGCAAGCGGACACAAGAGAGTTCGCAACAGCTGTACACCAACGCTTGCAAACGATTGCTGGCTCCTGGCGTCGACCGCTCGGGGGAGACGAGACTAAGAATCGCCCGGACATCCAGCCATCTTCGCAGCCACTCTGCAGAGCGAAAGCCTACAAGCAGCCCATCATCTTCGGCCAACACACCAAGGCCGAGGCAGCATGGCTCCGCTCTCAAGGCGCGTGAGCAACGGAAAAAGAAGAGAGAGAAGGCCGTGACGCCGTTGGAACAGTGTTTTAAACCACAGGACCAACTACGGCTCAAGGGCGTTTCTCCGCAGACACTCAAGCGGTATTTTGAGGCAGTGCGTGTTTTCAAAACATGGGCAAAGGCCAGCCGGAGGTCCCTGTCCAGCGCGGAAGCCCTGGACACGGCCATTAGCATTTTTTTGTTGGAGCTTTACAATGACGGGGCACATATCTGGGAGGGAACTTATACAGTATATGGGTACCAGTTTTTGTATAACCGGGGCTCAGACAAAGATTACCTCCCAGCTTCAAAGAAGGCTCTGAAAGCGTGGCGGAAGAGGCAGCCAGCACTCACACGATTGCCGGTGCCTGAAGAAGTGGTTTTTGCCTTGGGTACACAACTCTTACGTCAAGGTCATGTGCATACAGCTATAGCCATGGGTTTGCAATATCATACTTATATGAGACCATCCGAGGTGATAACACTGCAACACCACCAACTCTGTCCTCCAGTCAAAAAGACACTCAACGCGTACAATCACTGGGGCGTTGTGCTGGCACCGGAGGAGCTCGGCACAACAACCAAAACAGGTGAGACGAATGAGAGTTTGTTGATCAACAGTGGATACCACCCGTGGTTGCCTTCAGTTCTTTCGGCAGTGCACATTCGCAACTCACGAAAAAGTGTTTTTCCTTCTTTGACCCTTGCTGTGTATGAAAAGCATTTCAAACAAGCTGTGGACGCTTTGGACCTGCCTTTGGACTTGACGCCTCACATCATCAGACACAGTGGACCTAGCAATGACTTTTACCACCAGCGCAAATCCATTAAACAAATCCAACGACATGGACGTTGGGCGGCTGAGAAAAGCGTCAAGCGCTACATGAAAAGCGCACTCATCATGCAAGCTTGGGCAAAGTTGAATGACACACAGCAACATATGGTAGTACAGGCAGCTCGCGAATTTCCTCAGTTGATTCAACGAGCAGCTCGCGGTTGAAGCCAGCAAACAGACAGGTATGGGCAGTCAGATATGGGGAAAGCAGTGCTTGAAACTTCGAAGTTTTCAGAATTTAATGATGCAAACGATGTTTTCAGAACTTGATGATGCAATTGGCTGATCACTAACAAAGATGAAGAATGTGATTGGCACTACACCCATGTAGCCAAGTACCTTGGCTGAGCGCTGAAAAAGACTGGTGCACGCTGGGCGAAGAGAGAGAGAGAGAGAACAGAATGATTGTATACTTCCAATTTCAGGTCCCCATGTCTCCACATGCTGGGCAAAAGAGGTTTGGGCCCCCCCTGGTTGTGGTTCAGAATGGAACAAAAGAGGACTTGTATACAGTACCATTGACCAAAATCCAATGAAGCGCCGATACCTCCTGAAGCCTACAACCTCCTGCTTGTCCCAGCGGTCCCAGACCCACTCCGGGTGCCTCCTTTGGAGGCCGCCTGGAGAAGCTCTTGGCACAGCGGAACGGACCCCTCCTCGCCAAGCTGGAACGTGTTCAGGACACCCAGCGACCCGGAGGGTCGGGTTTGGCCGGGCGACGGAGGGAGGGTTTGGGGCACTGATTTCGGCCACGGGATGGGGCTTTTTGCACGTGCCGAACCATCAGGGACGAGTCCGATTAGGGTGAGTCCTTCACGGTGAGTCGATCGAGTTCCAAAACCCATCTGTGACGACCTTCTAAGTGTGAGGATTCGCATGCGGGTTTCCTGCGGTCGGAGGAAGGCTTGAGAAAGGCTTGAGAGAAACACGACCGAGGATTCGGCCAGTTCCATGAACACAGTCCATCATATACTCAGAGTTCCGATGGTGACACGGTGTTGGGGATGTGTTGGGACACTGTGGATGCGCAGCGGCACCAAGATCTCTCCAAGAACATCCAAGAACGATGCATGGACCATCCAGCACCTGCTTTGATCCATCTCTCCACGCCTACCTTAAGCCAAGATCTACATATTATGCTTGTGTTGTTTGATAGGGAGGGAGACCCCCGACATCTCGCCAGCCTGACCACATCGACTGGTCTTCCCGAACCTTCTGAGAGTCCACCAGGTCGGTCCCCCGGGAGTTCGGTCCACGCCGTCTCCCGGTCCCCACGCGGTCACATGGGCGGGCGATCAGCGCATTGGTGGACTGCAGGGTTTCTCCCCAAAGGGGTGATCAAACTGTGCTTTTTCCCAAACAGTTTAGGTGGCAAGCCCTTGCTTGCCCTGGGATTTGGGTTTCCAAAGAAGGGGGCAACCTTTGAATGAACAGTTTAGGTGGCAAGAAAACCAGCCGAGGCAGCATTTTCCAGTGCTGCGATCCTTTCGTTGGCGTAGGCGATCGACAAGGAAGCGCTATCTTTTGACGATGAGGCAGGGCGAGGGGTTTCCGAACCCAAACATCAAGTTCTAGAGGATGTGAACTGCGAACTGCTGCTACTAGCTGCTACCCTTTTTCCCAGGTTTTTCGTGGAAGTGAATGACATGTCCCCTTCTTGGAAGACGCCTTTATGTTGGGGGTGTTCATGATTATTGGGTTGGTGCAAATGGTGTTTGGGGGGGCAATTTTTTATTTGTAGTCTATAACTTATATTATATAACTTATATACAACATACCAGCAACCTCCAACAGGTCACCAATTGAGGCGTGTTAGGGCCTAACAACCCTCTAAAGGAGACTTGTTGGAGGGCGAAAAGGCTTGGTATGCTGTAGCTTTGGGTGGCCACCTGGAGGTTGTGTGCTTGTTGCTGAAAGCTGGAGTTGACAAAGATGCAGCAAGAGAAGATTGGGAAGCGGCTTTGCCAAACGATGGTCCAGCCCCCCCACCAATGGTCTATGTCTCGCCCCACCGCCTTACCAATGTTTGTTCGCCTGTTTCAAAGGACCTTCAATCCTTCAAACAACAAACCTTTCGACATAGGATTTCAAACCATTTCCGTTTTGGCCCCTCTTCTAGACCCGTACTGGGAAAATTGGTCCATGAGGGAAGCAAAACCTTCAGGATCTTAAAGCCAGAAAGACGAACACTATACCATAGCACCTAAGAAAGAAAGAAAGAAAGACAGAAAGAATGCAAGCAAGAACGAACGAACGAACGAACGAAAGAAAAATAGAAAGAACACCGTTTGTTGACCAAGTGAGTGTGTACTGTATGTTCCGGATACCAGACCAGACACCAATTTGTACCTCCTTGGAGAGATGAACCCGGCCCCAATGAACCCCACACGATGTCTGTAACGTCCGATGGAAGACCCGGCTTCTGCAGGAGCAGGTTTGCACAGATGCAAACATGAATCAATGATGGTTGTATGGAGTATGGATTCAGTAGTAATTATATAGACACTTATTTTAAAAGATCAATGATCAATGGATCGAATCATAGATCATGGAATCAATGAATCAATGATCCTTAAATCATAGTGTCAGAGATTCCATGGATTCCATGGATTCTATGAAGCTATGAATCGATGATTTGTACAACGGATGGAACGTCGTAGAAGTATGACGCCAGAAGCACGAATCGACTGGTGTCTCACAAGCACCCTGTCTCTCGCCGGTGATGTTTGGATCTGAAGATCAATTCGTCTCCCCCACGGGAGGAACCGACCATCTTCCATGACCGGACCATCTTCTTAGCTCCCGTCGGAGCTCACACCCAAGAGTCCATTCTCCCTAGGATTCGTGGCCAATCCCAAAGAACCAGTCTTTTACTAAGGTGTTTTTTCACTACACCACCAGGTCCTTCCCATTCTTTCTGCGAATCCTGTCTTGGGTTGGTCCATTTGGGTGCCCCAATCTGTTCTCCTTCAACCCAAATGGGCGGTTTCTGGCCCCGATCCAGCCGGGCTCGGTCGGTGTCCGAGCCATCGAGCTGGCCTTTGACGTTTTGGTGCTTGATTCAATGAATAGAGGGAAGAGACCTGATCTTAGTCCTGGAGGAATTCCTGTACCAAGAAGAAGGCCTCATGGTACCCATCGACTCCACCCGTTTCGACTCCGGAGCGGTCCGAGCGCTCGGGCGCGAGCCGCACCACAGATGGTCCTGGACGCCGTGAGCCCGTCCGCGCTGGAGCGCGCGAGGCGGTGGAGCGGAGCAAACGACGGAAAAAACATGGCAGAGGTGAACGTGAGGGTTTGGAATACATGGGTGAGGAAACAAGGCATGTTGGCCATGTGTTTGGCCCAAAAACGATGCCGGCCACCAGTGGGTGTCAAGCTTTTTTCCATCCGGGAGACTTACCCCGGAATCTCGCTCCTGGCAACATAGACTGATCTGTTTCCCTGACCAACCAGGGGGTCGTTGGGGTCGTTGTCTGGGAGGTCTTCCTATTTTAATACACACCCACATGGTTTTGACCGCGTGATCCCGTGAATTTCCAGGAACTGACGTTTGGGGATTGGTGGGTGGTGATTTCTCAAAAAGAGACACACGCACTTTTCTTTTTTTGTTTAAAGAGGAAGTGGTGTGAATTCCAGGGGTGTCAGTTGTTTTTTGGTTAGGTCTTCGGACTTCTTGGGCTTTTTGGGGTTTCTTCTTGACACTTCAGAGCTGGACGTGGACGTGGACGTGGCCTCTAGGGCTCCGACCTCGTTTTCGACCGAGCGACCGAGTGGCGGTCGGTGGGATTTGGTTTCGAAGAGATGGTTGGATGCCCAAGACACCGGGGCGTGAGTATTGGTTGGCGGAGGTTGGAGAATGGGATTTGGTGTGATAGCCACTGGTTTTCATGTCCAAGAACTTCTGCAGAGTTTTGGGTTGCAAGAGAAAAGTGCTGATTCGTTGATCCCTTCCTGAAGGTTTGACTAAGACTCTGCGAGCATTTTAGGACATCAGTCCGGGAAGGTGGATCACATCCGGAAATCCCAAGAGGATGTGGGTAGTTTTCTGCGACAGCAAGGGGAAGTTCTGCTAAACTGGGAAGGAGTGCAGCACTGTCCTTCCCGTCTTTTTCTCAAACGACTGGTTCAAACGCCTGTCTGGATGAGGAACATCGAAGAGCTATGGATTCAATATATAGGTTCCTAGGGGCAGATGTTTCAGGATGTTGCTCATGTTCTAGGGCTCTAGGGGAGGGCTTTTGATTTTAGAGGAATCCCCCTGTGGATCAGGTGAAAAGAGAGGGAGACCATGCAGTTGATGGTGTTGGCGGAAGAGAGTTGGTCGCCGTTTCGACACCACGTTTTGGACCAAGAGACTCTCTGTTTGAAGGGAAGAGCTTTATTGGGGAGCTTCGCCAAGGATATCAATTTTGCCGCATTTTGCCACCTAAAAGGAGACGAGGACATGGTGTGGGTCATTTGCGGTTTTGATATTGTGGCAGCCAGGCTAGCCAATCATTTGGAGGTGTCAATGTTTTCATTGACTTTGGGTGCATTACGGGGCTGGAGGGTCCAGGTTTTTTACAAGAATACTTTTTTCTATCTTTTTCTGCAGCCTCAGAGTTGAAGGACTTTCCACTATTTTGCCCACCCACCAACCACCGGCATGGGGACCCCCTCAGCCACGGGCAACTTGAACCAAAAGTGTCTCGAGTTGCGTTCCGTTGTTTTCGGGCATGGTGCATGGGACTGGGCCCAGTCCCATTCCCAAAACGGAAACAACCAATGAAGGCACGGCGCCCCCATCGCCTGTGCCTGGAACCAGGCCTTTCTTTTTTGGTCCCCTGCCTATGGATGCGCGAGGTCGACGGTTTCCCCCATCTTCCGAGCCCAACACCATGCCAATTTCCACGACCGGAAAGAGGTCTGGAAGAGGTTTCGCCTGCGGGTGAGGGATTTATATTGTTATATAGTTTATGTTTGAAGAAACTTTCCCGGCACTCTTCCGTAATGTAGACTATTGATCTAAAACCCCCCGATACTGTGAAGAGGTTGTTCAATTCAAAGGGGGTTTATTAATCACGAGTCTACATTGATCAGGACTTCCCCGTGTTTGTCTTTTCTTTCTTTTTCACGGATCCAACCCCTCGAATCCCGTGCCCATGAAGTCGGTTCATGTTCGCAAGTTCTAGGCGTGCGATGGAAGAAGACCACTACACCGTCATCCATGATGAGGCACGGGGCGAAGAGGTGAAGCAGACGCCGTGGGTTAAGAAGATGACTTGTTTGACCTCGTCCTTGGCAGAAAAGGATGGATGATTCTGATCGACGATCGATGGGAAACCACAGAACAGAACGGTCTTGAGAGCAAACCGGATGAATGAGGTGCAGAGTGGGATGATCAGCTCAACCTGAGTCGTGATTTGAATATCTGAAGACCTGTGAATGTTGAGTAGAGAGAGAAACGTGTGCCACTGCATTCCGGAGGAGTGTTGGCGTGTTTCCATTTTTGAAGAGCGAGAGAGAGGTCCGCCCTGCCGCGATCTGCAGCCCGCACCGGCGCCTGACGGTCGGGCCGTCCGTTTGGCTCGGTTTCCCCGGGCCGCTCCGCTCCGCTCCGCTGGCTGCGAACCGTGCGGCCCCGAAGGAAGGAAACCTCGTGCACTTCGATGACCATCTGACCTTGGGTGGCATTGCCTGTGCATTGTCTCATCGCAAGGCCTTGCGACGCTTCTTGGGCAGCGTTTTGGGAGCGGAGCGGAGAGGTTAAGAGAGTCACTTTATAGAGGGAGTGCGGGGTGTGTTCCAAGGTTTGAACTCTCTGAAACTTTCAGATGCTTTCGGCTACCAAGACAGACACCTCAGAAAGAACGATTATATACAAAGACAGGCATTGGTTCTCCAATCTTTCATAACCGACCACACAGACATTGGTTCTCCAATGTCTCCCTTACCCCAATGTCTACCCCACAATCAACGGTCGACCCAAGCGTTTCGTCCCAAGCGTCGGCGGGGGTCGGACCAACCGCTGGGTGTTCCCTTCGGACCCTCCACTCCCGAGGAGAACATGAACACATGAAGAACCAGCAGAGGTTGAACCCGAACGAAACGATCCTAGCTCGGTTACCCCAGGTGGTCCCAGTTCAGGTCATTGGAAGATGCTGAAAGGAGGAAAACGCATTGGCGCTGAAGCCAAAAACGCATTTCGGGGGGGGGGGTTGTGAAACTCCCAGGCAAGCCCGTACTGTACGGGCGGCTGTCTTTTTGTTTTGAGGAGGACATGAATGAACTTGACAGCTTGTGGTTCACACATCCACTCATCCTGAAACACAAGACTTTGATGCATCTTCGTTTACCACTTGGTCTTACACCGGTGTCGGGGTTTCGTTCGGTACTTGTCCGGGTGTTTCGGTTTCATTGGCCAATCCCACGTCGTGAACACGTGTCCATCCTGTGAGTTCACCAAGCTTCGTCCTACCCGTTCCGGAGGAGACCGATTCCGGTGGTTTTTTGGGTTCGGAACAGCGAGCCGAGCCGCCATGGCATGGCATGGCATGGCATGGAGGACCTCGGTGGGCATTGTCTTCTTCCTCCATTTCACCCACCGACCGAGGCATTGCGGAGCACCCCACCGCCGAGTGGGGCTTAGTGCTGGAGGAGCGAGCTTGCCGCGGCCGGTCGCGACCGGGTGACCAGCACGATGCCATGGATGTGAGAAGGCCAAGCCATGACCGGTGCGGTGACCGGTGCGGGCAGGAGAAGGATTCTTCCGAAAAGAGAGACGTACAAAAGGATGGAATTGGAATCTGACCAAGCGAACAAAGAGAATGTGATTGGAGTTCTTCTTCGCGTTCAAAGAGGCTGAAGAGGCCAAGGTCCTGGTCAGGAATTGGTGTAAAGAGTACACAAGTCAGACCAGGTCAAGTCTGATCTGCCGTAAGAATCCAAGTAATCTTACGGAACAACATCGACATGTCTGATCCATCAACAAACATCAACAAACATGATGCACACCAGGACCATCCTGTCGGGGTGTCCAATGGACTACCCCACACTACCTACAGGCTTCCATTGGGCACCCCTTGGATGGTCCAGGCAGTTAAAGATAGAAGCACCTTTTTGAGACGTTTCCCTGCTTTCTTCAAAGTGACAGCGTCTTCTGCGCCAGCAAAAAGTCTGCAGAAAGTCCGTGTTTCACGCAATTCTTGGTTGACAGAGCGCCATCGTCAATGCCCCACAAGACCAACTGCCAGTGCCCCCAAACCCAGTGGATCAACCTGGTGGTGAAAAACACCCCTGGTCGGTTGAACCTTCTTTACGTCTAGGCGGGTGACTCCGAGCACGTGGAGCTCTCCCAAAGCGCCTAAAGGCCACCGTTTCCCCCTTCGATGTTGTTCGCTCGCTCTCCACGACAACGCAGGACGATGTGAACGCGGTGGTTCCCCGGGTGGATTTGGCCATTGCCAAGCTTTGGCGCGGGGGGGGGGGGGGGGGGGCAAAGGGGGGGGGGAGGGGGGGGGGGGGGGGGGGCGGCGCAACAGGAGGGAATGACGGGACCGCGTGCGGTGGCCTCACCAGGATTCAACATCAAAATCAGTTGGTAGTTAGGAGGGAGCTGAGCAGTCGGTGTCCAGTTTTCCTTCAAACCGGGAGCCCTTTGTTCTTGAATCATGTGCTAGAAAAGGACTATGCACAACTGCATAACCCGCTGGTTTTAGAATGTTGCTGCACTTTTGCTTTACAAGAGGCTCTGGGAGGGCAGCCGCCTGGAACCACTGCGCCTCAACCCTCGGGCGGCACCCGGAAGCGTTCCGGGTGCGTGCGGAGACGGCAAGGACATGTGTGGAAAGCTGTAAAAACGATTGCACTTGAAATACAAGTGCAACCAGCTAATGCATATGATGCAATCCTGAAGATATATCAAGACAAAGACTCCTGAGGGGGTTGCTCTATTTGCATTTCATAGACCTGATGATGCAAATATTGCGATACTCAGACATATAGTCGAACACTGGTGATATCTGCTGATATATCGATCAAACCATTTATTGTTCCATCTTTTCTCCAATTTCTGCAATCGCAACTCCTCTCCCAGCACGCCTCTTGATGCAGGATATGCATTTTCGCTCCCAGTGAGGCATTCCAACTGTAGGAAATTGTCTATGTTCTCCCCCCCTTGAGCAAACCAACGCATTCCATTTGCAACTCCTTGCGCATTTGTGGGAAATCGTGCCGGTCGTCGGCAGCTTCACATTCTCAGCCGAGCCCGTCCGCTGGTGGCATTCTAGCTGGCCCTCTCAGACTTTGGACAATTGTGGGGCAATCGAAGTTCCAGTCCAGCGGTATGGCATAGGGCAGTATATGGCACTTATATAAGTACCCAAAGGCACCCCAGACAGAAACCGCGAAACCGCTTGGTGCGAGCTCGCCCAACTGGTCGCAGCCGTGGACCTCCGTGGACCTCCGTCCTCGTGACCAGGGCGGATTTGCCTGACGATTGGGACGCGGTGTGCTTGGCTTACCACGACGAGCAGGGCAGGCGCTTACCGGTCTCCGGGGTGAAAACGACGTTCTTTTTTTTGTTTTTTTTCCATGGGCTACCTGTGGGTCATGCCGGGATGCGACCGGGTGGAGCTTGGTGTCGGTTGGTGGGCGAACCATGGTGGACAAGATGTTTTGGCTCATCAGTCCAGGTGGTTTGACCCTGTGGGTTCACACGGCGGTCACTCAGAAGAGTGCGGGTCCACCTTACCACACCCGGCACACCCGGTCTTTGGAGTGCGAAGCGGGTGCTTGGAAGAAGCGTTTTTGGCGAACAGTGGTCGGGGTGTGAAGGTGTGGTTGGAGTGATTCGAGGTAGTTGGGAAACCATGTTGGGGCGGCTGGAGTTTCTACAAGATTATGAGATTTACACATGTTTGTTGGAAAGGCCTGTGGAGTAAAGGGGCTTGCGGCAAGATGACAAGGCACCCATGTTTCAATTGGCAACATGGGATGCCTTTCCCGAGTGAAAGCAGTGGCACGGCAGTGGATGTTTGCAACCGTTTGTTTGTCTCGTTTTGATCTGCCACAGAAGCGACCCCATGTGAATCTGAGTCGTACTTCTTGAACCAAGTCATTGATGGCCGATGATGGCATACTTGCCATTCATGGCTATTGATGAAAGCAACCAAACCATTGATGGAGTTTGGCCAACACCTGGCCACTGCTCCACCTCGACTGATGACTGATCCACTTCCGCAGGGTGCATCCCTCAGCGGTCAACTACGAGGAGAGCTACGACGGCGTGCGAGTGCTGGCGCAGCTCGACCTATACCTGGACCTACCCGAGCTGCCTTTCTCCGCAGCTCGGGAGAGCTCGGAGAACGGCTTGAATTGGGGGCGGTTCTAGACCGGGTGCCCGGTATGGTTTGATGGTGCTTTCAGGATCACTCTTGGATGGTGAACAGGTGAATTTTCCAGATGAGCCTGATTGTTTAAGGTATCTTGAGGTGATTTTGTCTTAATACGGACAAACAATTAACTGGCTCACCATTTTTTCAATGGGTTTGTGGGAAGTGGTTGACTGGCATGACATGCAAGTTAATTGTTTGTCCGCTTGTGCCGGCAAGCGAGTGATATATATATATATAATTATATATATATAGAGTCCCTTTCCTAGCTGGAAGTGTCCTGCCCTGAACGTCTTTTCCCAATGGATATGAGACAATGATGCTACAATATGCTACAATATGCTACAGGGATCCACAGTACATTCTGAGAGGTAGTGACATGTACCAGGCCCCCCTTTGGGCGATGGGGCTGATATTGGTGCTGTTGGACACCGAAACAAAGGACCGTTTTCTTCACCGGAGGAGCAGTCTTTGAGTGTTTTGCGACTCGGATGTGCAAGAATGGCAAAGCAGAAAGTCCATGTATTTTTTCTCAACCGTTGGAGTTTTCGGTTTTGCACAAGGGGATTACGATAGACCTAGAACCGATCCGTATTTTGGACCAACCACCCAAAAATTTGGGCTTTTCCCATCAAGAGAGGGGTCAAATGGTTAGGGTTTGTCCCATCACCAGCAACAGTCGGTCAACGACTATCACTACTTTAGAGCGAATCCTTCACTGACCATCATCCACTGCTACTGGTAATGGGATAGTCCCTCTCTCTAATGATGTCTGTTTGTTTTTCCTTTTCTTTTCTGGGCTGAGTTTCCCACTGAAGGGACGACTCACTGAAGGGACCACTCCGAAAGCGACCCCCCCAAACCGTCGCGGCCGAGCGTCGCGGCCGAGCGGCTGCGGCTCAGGTCGCCGGGCCATGTCTTCGGCTTAGGAGCTTGGATGGTGCGCCGCAGCGGCGACTGTGTTTCGACCTCGCAGAGAACGCACGCGAGCGCCGAACACGGGCGCCGAAGGATTGGATGAGCTCCAAAAGCTCCGGAAAAAAGGCTGCGCAAATAGGGGTTTCTAGTTTGTTTCTGAGTCATTGATGCGCAAAAAGGCGAACAGAAAGATCTCCAGCCAAGTGAAGTGATACCCGGGTATACCGACCATGTGGTTTGCAACTCTTGTGTGTAGTCTTGGGTTCTTTTTAAAATGTTTCTTTTCTCAGAGCACAAACACGGCTCAGCTGAGCCACTATAGAAAAAGAACCACATATACAAAAAACATCAGAACACGTTGTAGATCCCCCCTCAACATGTATTGGAAACCGTTTCTATACCAGGACCTTCCAAGAGGTGTCTATAAATCCTCGGTCCTGGTATGTCTCTATCTCTTTGGACCACAGGGACCGCTGAGTCGTCCACACGTTACGGCGAGTGGTGCAGAGCCCACCAGCGAAAACGACATGTGTTTCACCAGTGAATGTGTTTCAACTCCTGTCACCTGGCATGAATGCAGGTGGCATGAGTTTTTTTTTGATCCCTTCACATGTTTTGCAGATGAACTCTTGTAACTGGAGGTGAACAAACCATGGAGTTATGCAGTTCGCCCACCACGACCAAAACACACACACACACACCCACCTGTCCACGCGGAAGTCGAAGCCGAAGCCGTGGATCTTTCCGACGACGCCCACCCTCAAAAGGTGGGTACCGTCCGGGACTGGGACACTCTGTAGGTGTCCCATCCCATGACCTCTAACAGGGGCCTCATCATCCACTGGGCCCAGGGCATGGGCACCACTGGGCCCAGGGAACCCACCCAAACGAACCAACACGAGAGGTGTCTATGTCCCCCTCGCAAGAGGTGAGGTTTCCCCGGGGGTGTCCGTTCGGTCTCCACCGGGCGAGTGGCGTGTCAGGTCCTGTCAGGTCCTTCAGGATCTCCAACCACAACAAAACACACCTTTCTGCCAGGAGTCACAAGACGGGGTGGTGTTTGGTCCCCAAGTGAGTGGATGTTCTGGGCACACCTAACCTCCATGGATAGCACCCCTTTGTGACTGCTGGTGGTATATATTTGTTTGGTTCTTTTTCTTTTCCCCATCCTCTTGGTTCCTGCTCGCATCTCGAGCTGCATGTATTTTCGCTCCTCGAGGTACGAAAAGAGGCGGCCTTGCAGCTGGTGGAGCACGCCTTCCCCATCCAGAGTCAGGCGAGGGATGAATCCTATGAACTGGGAGTGCCCCTCTTTTGTGACCACCGAACATGGGCAGCTTTTGGACCCTTTGAGAGGATGGACAAAAAAGCCCTTTTGGATGCTGAAAAGGCTCGAAGAGACCCATCAGGCCCATCAGAATGTGTATCGAGGAACCAATTGGAGTCCCCCAAGCATTTGGGGTCCCTATCTATATAATCATGTCCAGAACCGTCCTGGCGGGGTGTCTATTTATAGCCCCGAAAAGCGTTGCTTCGGGGTGTCCATGAACCACCCCAACTCAAAGTGCTGGGTGATGCTTTATCAATCTTTCGACCTCTATCTCTCCATGTGTAATCCTGGCCAATCGAGGGATTGGTGAAGAAAAACGTCAGACGTGCAGGCCCCGGGTACTCACCCCTTGGCTGTTCCATCCTGCCCCGTTCCTTCTTCAGCGCTACGCACGAGCCATGGGAGTCACAACCTGAAAACACCCAAACCACCCGGACGAGATGCAAACGAAGGCCCTGGAGGGTCAGGGAAGCTGGTTTCTCTTCTTGTGACTCTGGGAGTCCAGCAAAAATACACTGAAGACTTCAGGACTTTCTCCGCGTGAACACCTCCTTGGTGGGGTTTGCTTTTGCACCGGAGCGCTTCGGAGGTGGACTACACGCTCACCAGCTGGTTAGCCCAATTCCGCAGGCCGCGCTTCTTTCGTCGCCGATTCGCACGGCCTCGCTCGGCCGCGCTCGGCCGTGGGAACTGGGGTGAACGTGTGGCGTTCTTCTCGGACATCTCCACCCGGCAAGCGCCGCCAAGATGGCCTTCCAAGATGGCCTGTGAATTGATGGGGTGTCTCGGAGTTGAGTCCAGTGCTCCAGTCGATTTTTGGAGGCAGACATCGACTGGATGAACTCCATGCGATCTTCCAACGTGGCAGGAGTTCCTCCCCCCGCCGACTCCATTCCCGTCCGTTCTCCGTGGTGTTTCGGCACCACGCGTGGCGCCCCTTTGCGCCGACCAGGAGGCTGTGGAAAGTGGACCCCAGGAACCTCCTGTTCTATTGCCCCTCCAGCGAGGAGGCGACGGCGGGCCCGCCCTGGGCGGCTTCTTCGCTCGGCGATCAGGGGTGCATGGGCCCGGCGTAGACAGGGACAAGGCAGGGGAATCAGGCCAGTCAGAAGGGTGCCCTGAAGAAAACCAGGATTTGGGTTGGGCACCGACTCTTGTGAGGTCGTTCGCTCGTCACCCACCCTGGAGGGCCCACAGCGCGGTGCACTGCTTGGGCGACCCAGAGGGTCGTGAGACCGACCCATCCCCCATCCCCCACGGCCTCTCAGAGACCCATCCCCTGGGCCGGGTGAGTGGCCTCAAGAGACCATGGCCTGGGAGGCTTTCAAGGCCTGGGAGCCTGGCAGATGGGAGCTTCAAAAGGAGTTGGGGACTTCCGCAACCTCTCATCACCAGTGCCCTCACCCTGCCCTCACCGGTGCTGTGAACAGCGGAGAAGGAGATGGATTCGGATGTCCAAACCATGGCGCCCATTGCCAAGATCGTCCGGCCCTCAGATCCGGCGCGGACCCGGAACCGCGCTCGATTTGGTCGAAGTCCTTGTGACGAAAATGACTCATGACGGTCTATTGAACCAACCAACAGAGGTGAAGTGACCTGAACAAGGACCCCCGGCCCTAACCTGAAGTACCTGGGATAGTCGGAGAGTTGGGTTCTGACCCACCTCTGGAATGTGGCATCACGGTCCATCATGGCCACCATCCGGTGAGTCGCAGCCGTCTGTCCCATGCGTCTGGAGACGCTGAGTCTGTCCCTCCGCAGCCCTCAGTTGACCACGAATCTCTGCAGGTTGCGGTTTACCTGTCTGCAGGTCTGGGGCTCTGGTGACCGCAAGGTTTACCTGTCTGCAGCCCTCACTTGACCCCAATCTCAGTCTGTCCCTCACGAACAGTTCGGTTGACCCGGTCTTCTCGGGACCTTCACGGGCCGATTTCGGAAGTCGGTGGCAACTGGGTCGGCAAGACCAAGTACCTCACTATGCCAGATGTGGTGGTTGGAGAACACATATAACATAACCTATAGGCAATTACAAACTGGACATGATCTTAAGTTTTTCTCATTTTTCCGATGTGGTTTTGACAAGCCCAGCTTTTCCCTGCACAGTCTTTTTTTTCTCCAAAGCCGCTTGAGAGACTCTTCTCAGGAGGAGGAGCATCAGTCGCTGCAAGCCTACCTGGACTACATGAACGGGAGGTTGGCCAGACAGTGCAAGGTGGGTGGGTGGGTGGGTGGGTGTTTCTTGATGAAGTACAGACCGAATGTGTTGTTCTTACATTCAATTCAATCAACCGGTAAACCTGGGCTGTCTTACCCAACTTCTTCAGTGACCCAACTTGAGGGTCCCTATACAAGTGACCCGAACTTGGAGGTTTGCTTGTGACCGAACCACAGGGGATTCTTCAAGGAGGCACTTTGAAGAACGACAAAAGTTGTGGTTCTTTCATCCGCCACCAAGGCTTCATCAGCCACCAACACCACCGGATCCAGCCGTCACGTCACACGGTCACACCGCTCGACCCCTGCTCGACCGAGCTCGACCGAGCTCCCTGACCCTGCTCGTCCGAGCTCCAACGAGCTGCTGACCTTGAGGCCGTCCGATCCCTATGCTGATTGGGACTTTGACCTGGACGATGAAGGACTGTTTCACCTGCTGCCGGGGCCGTCTCCGGCGGGTCCGCGCGGTGTGTCCGTGCGTGGGCGGTGCGTGGTGGCCGGAAGAGCCCAAGCGTTGCGGGGGGAAACGGGAAGACCGAAGCACTGGGTGTTGGACGAAGGCGACCAGTGGGGGGGTTCATGTCGAAGGTCGGCCTGGCCAGACATGACCCGGACTGTCATATGCCAGTTGGGGGTGGTTGACCAGAGGTCGATGGATCGGCATCATCTATAGACTCTTGATTAATCATTGCCAATTTGGATGCGCTCACTTGCGGTCCATGACGCTTCTACAACATCCCTTGCCGCGTGTTACGGCGGGTTTGTGTAGAGTCTGTGAAACTCGTGTGGCTATTGTACACCTACAGAAAAAGAGCACGAAAGGGATAAGGCAAAAGCGAAATCGGCACAATCACGGACAACAAAACTACAACCAGGCCATCAGGACGAGTTCACCGAATGTTTGAATTATTAATTATGGCACGGAACGATCATCTACGAATTATTCGGATGCTTAATGTCATCGAACGGAATCTTTCGAAACAGGGCATTGCGAACATTTTGCAGGAATTTTTCCTGCTTTGCTGGAATTACTTCTTCCCAGTCCGGCCACCTGGGTGCCAGGTGGTTCTCTGGCAAAGCAGGTATCTGTATTTCATTATGGTAGGGTGGGTCAGTTGGCATATGCAGGATCAAATTTTCAAGAAATGCATTGGTATCTGTGGCATTCGGCAAGGTGGGACGGCGTGAGATACCTCCCTGATGATATGTTGCGAATCCAAGTCGCGTGAGACTGGATGTCCCCTGCTTCTTATATGTGGGAATGATTTTAGCCTTGGCAAAGGTCTGGATGTGTTTTACAATCCATCGGAAGTTATCAGCAAGGATCCGCAGAGAACGGGCTTTAATCGGAAGGATCTGAACTCGCGGGTCAGTGTAGGGAGTCGTGACCAGCTTATCATGGATCTTGAGTCGTATAGGCAGAACACGATTAGACCAAAGCATAAACGAGCATGCCAGTTCAGTCCAAGAAATTCCCAGGTCACGAGGATCATGTGCTTGTGAGGGATCCGGCCATCGGAGCAGGGTGGAAAATGCCCACACCATACGCGTAAGGTTGACCCCCCAGGGGCTGCACCAAAAAACAACACGATGTGGTTCGGGGGGTGTCGGGAAGAAGGGCACCTTTGGCATCCATGTCTTCAGTGTACGGAGCGTGGTCTGGAATGCGGCCTCCGTATTACGGGACACCCCGGATGCTTGCGAATCTTGTGGATCATGGGTTTTTGTTTCGAGTTTGTGCATTCGCTCACATGCGAAGTCCAGAAGGTAATGGTAAACCAGGGTCAAGTTCTTTTGCTGTTGAGTACGATGAAGTCGTACCTGTTGGCATAATGTAGAAAACTCTTCATCGTCCAGCTGTCGAGATTTTCCAGCAGCTTCGTCTGCACAGGCATTGCCATGGATATGCCAGAGCTCTTGTTGTGAAGTTGCCATGTCCAGCTGTAAATGAGATTTGATTTTTTGGACCGTGAACCGGTTACCGTCCCAGATTTGGATGAGACGATGAACAAGGTCCCAGTGGGAGGTTTTGTGTGGATGTCGCATGATTGTCCCATTGTGGATGCGGTAAATGATGCTAATCACATACTGTGAATCTGTGACGAAAAGTATGGAGTGCGTTAAAGTGACAGTGAGGGTGGTTTCGACTGCGATAATCATCGCATATAATTCAGATCGATTGATTGTCTGTAGCCCGGGACAATGCCCGGTGGCAACTACATGAAAGGTGCGTACACCAGGCTGATTGGGGATGCTATTACTGAGGACTACTGCCCAGGCCGCACGGGCGGTAAAGGGATCACGAGTATCGTCACAGGACCCATCAGTGTATAGGGTCATGTCGTTACTAGTTGAGATATTGGACACGGAGGACACGGTAGTGTTGCGCAGAAACATCGCTTGACGGGCCAATGGCATATGTTCATGATGCGTGGGCAACGGAAACCAGCACAGGTAGCGATTTTGTGACAAGTATTGAACCGCGGTTGGATGCTTCGTGCGAAGGTCCGCAAAAGCCGGGCATTCTAATAGTTGGTGTCGATGTGTGTCATGTTGGTGGCACCACGGGCATTGTGGGTCCTGCGTGGTCGACCACTGAGCTATAGCTCCATATGATTGCCAACCAGACGTGAGGCTTAAAGCTAAAATGCGTCGTTGGCGGTCAGTGAGTTGCTGCATCAATTTCACTGTGGTAAATGAGTCGAACGGCTGATCCGTAACACCTTTTCGGTGTTGGACTTCTTGGTGGCAGAACCAGTCCCACGCGATACGTAGTTGTTGTTTTATCTGCTTATTTGATGACGTTTTCAGGTTGACCCGGAGGCCGCCGGGGCCCACGAGGGTGGCTTGGGAGGTGAGCTCCCATCCGCAGTGTGCCAAATACGAGGCAATGGCTGTGGCGGGCCCTCTGACTTTTCCATCGTAGGCACGAATGGACTGGAGAATTTGCTCGGCCATATCGGGATGGTACACGAAAAATCGTCGGAGGGTGGTTAGCATATCGTTAATGAGGTATAGCAAGGGGTCCTGCACACGGTCGGACAGATAGTGCATGGCAATTGAACTTGCAGCATATTTATGGTCTCCAACAAGAACATTGGAGGCAGCTCGCCTAAGGGTAACAAAATGTCGATTTCCAATGGCCACGCCCAATGCACCATAAAAAACCGCCGGCCAGATTGCGACCTGTATTTTTTCTGCTCGTTCCTCCAGTGCAAGTTGCAAACGCTTGAGGCGGTTGCATTTGGCCACTGCGTTATCGATTTTATCGCGGAGAGGGCCTAAAACAACGGCATCAGTATACGAGATGGTGCAACCCAGGTCGTGCACATGGCTTTTAATCTTAAATTTAAAACCCTGTTCAAGGAGCAGAATAGCTGCGTCTGACCAGAAAGTTTTAAAAAGCTTGGTGGTTGCCCAGCACCAGGATTTAGAAAAATCAATCTGCATCCGGAGTGCCGCAACTAGGTTGAGGATGTGCTGGATTGACTGGAAACAGGACCTTTCCGAGGTTGACATGAACGACCAATTGTCCGCATAAGCGTACGGGAACACCTTAGGTGTTTTGAGCTTGCTATAGAAGAGAAAACTTAAGGCCAACATGCCAACAACTGACATCGAGTCTCCCTCAGGGAGTCCAGTGGTCGAAGCGTGTGGTTCACCCAGCGAACGTCCACATTGGAGCGATCGTGTGAGCTTGGTAAGGGACAGGAACCAGAACGTACAGATGTCGGCTGATTGAACACCATCTTCATATGGGTGGCTTATTCATCAAGGGTCTACATGATATGCCTGCCCCATAGACAGGTCGTGTTTGGGACATGAGAACCGTTGTGGATCGCTCGCAGAGTCTCCAATTGCGTGATATTCCACGGGATTCCACAGGACGATGTTTCGGAACGTCTGCAACTCCTGGTTCGGATCCTGCAGCCTTTGAAGGCTTCAGATAGTCAGGTTCAGGTGATCATCCACAGGTGGAACGTCAATAGTCAGGTCTTCGATGCCCTCCGTCCGGAGCTGTGGAACTCGGAACTGTTGGGGGTGCAACGGTGCGGGACCCCGCCAAGCATGCCACGCCACTTCCGAACTCCACCTGTTGCCGTTCCTCCAACATGGAAGCTGACCAGGACCCAGGACCTCCTCAAAAAGAGGAACTAAGGTCGAACCCCCCGGGGCCAAAAAACCCATCCACTTCCATGATAGCGCTTGGGGCCAACCTTGTAGCTGGTGTGAACACATTTGGTCCACCACTGCCGGAAAGTGCATAGAATTGTAATGAATTGTATATACAAACCATTCGCAAAGCTCTCCTGGACTGCAAGACCCTTTAGAAACGAAGGGCTTGGGCCTTGGGTTCCAGGTAGATGGCTGGTGTGCCTATTGAGCCATTGGTCCCCTTTGTACCTCCCTTTAAAAGGACTTTGGTAGATGGATTGGTTGAGAACTCTCAAAATGTCAAAATGAACAAAGTGGCACAAGCTGTTCAGGGCTTCCACCTCGGGCTGCTGCCCGCTGGCTCGCACGAACTCACTGCCATGCACGAACTCACTGCCACGAGGAGATCCCTTCGACGAGGAGGAATGGATGCGCCGCTGGCAGGAAGAGCGCTACGAGGAAATCCACCGCGTGTGGCGGCGTTCCGCGTGCGGCGGCGATTTGGGGTGGGGGTTGGTGGGGGCGTCTCGTGTTTTTGCCAGCCCTGTCGAAAGGGCATATTCGTGACTAAGCGCGTTTGGAGGGACTGACGCCTTTTGCCCACATGAGAATGACACGAATCTACAAGAACATGTGGGGATGGGTCGTTCAACTTGTCACCCCCACTTCGTCCATGTAGAGAGTTGTTCCTTGTCCACCAGGTACTGGGGGGTAGCGAGCTACGACTGTCTCGTGCCATGACGTTCCACCCGCAGGCACCGCTACGAGCGAGCGCAGGCACCGCTTCTTTCCCCCATATCTGGGCAGAACTGAGAGGGGGCAGTGCCAAGAACCTCCCGTCTGAGCGAAAGAAGAGACACGAACACGGTTTTTTGACCAGCCGAACAGGTGCAGTTTTCAGGTTTCATGGGATGTACTGGACCGGACCGTATATAGCTGAAAGATGGTTAAAGCTTAGATTAAACCCTGGACAGGAGAAGATGGACAGGACAGGCAAGTCTCCTTCCTTCTTTTTCTTTCCACACCGTGCCCCAGCCCGCAAGAGCGAAGCGCCCTGAGATGACATGCGAAGTGTGTGGGTTGTCTGTTTGTTCCCAAGCAAGCACCTATAAAGAAATTGTTTTTCTAGAGTATTTAGTAGTATTCATATGTATCTGTATTTGATACATTTTTGTGTAAAGGAAAACTGCATGTTCGGGATTTTGGATATATTGGGATATTGCACTTTCTAGGCAGCAGTGTGCCTTTATTTTTGCGCAGGAGTACTACAGCCGGTTGAGATCAGAAGGCAACTGGACAGGAGTCATTGGGAGGTCAATGTGTGTCCAGCGTTGGTATTGTCGGATTCTGCCAACTGTTTGACCCGATTCGGCCGCTTTTGGTTTATAAGGAGTTTCTATACCAAAGCACAAAGCTTAAACCCTAACAGTATAGGCAAGATACCGGAGTGCCTCTGGTAAGGTTGAGGCTGCGGGGCCCAGACGAGTTGGTGGTTTAAACACATGTTGCCCTTTATCTTCAACGATGTTTGCACCCCAAAACCTGAAACGATCAAGCCCAGCAAGATGGTTCAGAAGGGCGCCACCGGACCACAGAAGACGCTTTTCTGAGTATTCAGTGTCGATTCTAGAAACGGGCTCCTATGAATATGAGGTTAACACATCATCAAGAGTCTATGAAACATACAGACGACCGTCAGATGACACCTGAAGCTGTTAAAAAAGATCTGAAGGGTTCATGGCTTCTCACAAGATCAGACGAGGCTAATGCAACGTGGGACCTCGTTGGCACCAGGCACGGGACCTCGGCCGTTCGTGCTTTGGACGGTGTTCGCCGGTTCGGCAAAGTCGAGTTCGTCCCATCTCCGCAAAGAGTCAGTACAGTAGGCCTAATTAATTGTAATACCGTAATTACTGTATATAATTAATTTGGTGTATAAGTATAACAAAAAAGCAGATGAAATCAATTACTAATTACTGTATCTCTATTCCGGTGTCCAATTGGGCAGGAAGGTTTGTGACAAAGCTACTATGCTGGGTCCGGGGTGCTGGTCCGGATGGAAGAGTCTGGGAGTATCCCTTCCTACCTCGGAAGTCGGTTTTTGGGTCATGCAGGAAGAAGCACACTTGACCCAGAACACCAGTCCTTTTTTCCTGCATGAAGGGTGTGTTTCTGCGCACCAGAACTGGTGCTGGTGCGGGTGCGGACATCACACCGGTCCAGGGTGTGTCCCGTTGGCATCTCTCACAAGAAACAAGAAGCAGGCCCTCCCAAAGGCGTTCTCCGCTTGACGCTCGTTCCGGAGAGGGACGAAGCTTCCTCTTGGCTTCCGGATGGGGCCACGTGGCCACTGAGATCTCCTCTGCGTGACTTCCACAGCTTCGTGTCCTCCAAACCGCCCGTTTTGTTCCGTGTCTCGCGCGGCCGCGCGGCCACGGGAGGTGGTCGATGCGCCGTGCCGAAACGCCCGATGAGCGGACGGTGACCTGCCTGGTCCAGTGGGAGAAAAGATCGTTTGGGTCCAAAGGGGAACGGGATGCAGGCTGCGTACCCGAACAGGCTGGAGGGGTCACCTGGCTGGAGGGGTCACCTAACAGTATCTCTGGAGAAGGTCTAGTCAAAGCACACACAAGAAGTGTGGAGGCCACAAGAAGTGGTCAGTGGCCTTTGATGAACACCGCGGGTTGCACTTCTCTGAAGGAGAAGGCACCCGTCTCGATCCGACACCTGGCCGCCAGTGGCCCTGATCGATCCGGCAACTCGGTGGGTTTGGACCACAGGAGTTGCAGCCGCTAGTAGGAGCTGCAGGCCCTGTCAGGAGTACAGCACGACTCTTAAGCAGTATGAAGGCTGTTGAACCACTAAATGGAGTCTCACTTTGTAGCTTGCTTGCGACAAGGGGAGCATGGTCATTCTTTTCTTTACCACCAGACTCTTTAGGTCTCCCGAACTGGTGCCTTTGGCAGACTTAAACAATGTCACAGGTGGTGACCTCTTGAGTGGGGTGCTGGTAGTCACTGGTAGCAGGTTCAACCGGATGGCACGCCATCGGCGATCACCAAAACGTGATCAGGGGAACCCGTTTTGTGGCGTTGGGCGAAGCCTACTAGTAGGATTCCAATCACCCTTGATCTAACGCATTTGATCGAACAACCATGATTGTAAGGATATTGGGACTACAACAACAGGTCTACCGAACTCTTTTGTAATTCTCGGTTCCTGGGCCGAGGAGGCAGTTTTCAGTCGTTCGAGAGTTCGCAGTGCCCTGTCGGAGTTCGGTCGTTGCCATCATCCATTGGTGATAGATTTGCCCATCGACCATCCGGTTGGGACCCTCATAGCAGGCGGTTTCGCCTGTTTCGCGACCGGTTTCTACCCGTTTCGCCCGTCGACCTCCTTAGCAGTTTGTTCTGTTCCTTTCATGTGAGGAGGGTAGACCCTTTTGATCAATGGGGAAGCTTAGCACATGGCTGTCCCTTTTGTTCCGATGCTTTGTTTACAGAGTATGTTGTTGTAATCATGAGTGCCGAGGAGGAAGGTGCCACTGCCTCTGGGCTCACTCCTTGGAACCACAAGGCACCTACTGACTGTGGTACCTGGGGAGAGCATGTCATGCCTTTCGGAGCGTTTTGCTCAAGCGGTGAGTCTTGCAGGCCAAAATGCACCATTTGGCATGTCGACATATTGGGCTCAACATGGGGGCTCCACGGCTCAACTGATTTTGGGGGGCTCAACTGCAGCATCTCGGGAGCTTGACAGATTACTGTTCGGTTGCACCTCATGTGAAAACACCCAGGATGATGGACCAGCACGGTGGGGCGCACCGGCCCCTCACGGAAGCGAGGTGCTGATGCTATGAGGCCGGACCCTCTACCCTGAAAAGCCTACCGCCTCCCGAGGACAAGTCGTAAAGTCTACCCATAGCCTAAACCTGCTTCACACCCACCCTACCATCCACACACCCTCCTGCTATCAACAGCCTTGTCCTGATGTCGCGCAACGGCTCCAGCAGCCGCGCGGTCGACAGCCACAGCAGCCGAGTCCACGGAAGTGATGGCATCGAACTATCAGCTGCATGGCATGTGGGCAGTGTGGAGGGCAGTGTAGACTCTGGATGAACAACCCCCCCAAGCCTGAAGAGGTTTTTGCACTCCAAGTTGGGGGGTGGAAATAGCATCAAGAGCCTGACAGGGCCTAGGTGAGCAACCTGCAGAATTGAGTGAGCAGTGAACAGAAGGCGTGCGAACATGTTTTCATCAATCAGATGGGCGAGCAATTGACAAGAAAGGAACTTTGCCCCGTACATCTGACAAGTCTGACTGTAACGCAAATGATAGCAGCGCCCTTCGTCTTCTTCCATGCGTATCCTTTCGCTGGTGATCCTTCCTCCTTCACCGGGTTTTCCTACCGGGAAAGCAAGCGGATTCAGAGAGTCACTGCTGTTAGATATGGTATCACACAGTCGTTCTTGATCCTTGGTTGAAGAGACGAGAATGCCTTCTGGGGGGCGCCAACGACACCGAGACAAGTCAACAACTGTCCCTGCTTTGAAGTGATCATGATAAAGCCACAGGCCTTTGGAATAGAAGCAACAGTTGTTTGAAAGACCAAGCAAAATCCAGAAATGCCCCGGAAGGGTCGCTTTTGTTTTTCATTCCTTCAGGTCCAGCAAAATCCTCCAAAAAGGAGAGATCACGTGCAGTATTTCTGGTTCGGACGAAAGGATGGAAGTTCCAGGAATGACACCTTCAGCTCCTCCCTCCCTCCTCTCCCGCCCCTCTCTCCGGTCTACTGAGGTCTCAGGCACCAGCGACTCCCGCAATTCCCAGGACTTCTCGTCCCAGCGGCGCGCGTTGGGTGCCCGCGAGGTCAGGAAGGCGGCTGAAAAGGTGGGGGCCCGACCTAAGGACGACCTCTTGTGTTTTTGTTTTGGACCGACCTCTTGGCAGGGGTGGGGACCAAGGCCCGGACGCAGGGGTGCGGACAAGAAGCAAACCCTTCCTATGGGAGAAGGGCCTGGATTCTTAGGGGATTTGATGAAGCAAATCAAATCTTCCATAGACTGGTTGTCCTTTCTTTTTGGACTCTCCTGGCGGCAGAAGATCACATAGATCGGATCTCGGCGTTGCCTGCTTCAAAATCACATAGATCTTTGACTCTCCTGCCAAGGCATGTTTTTTGGGGAGGTAGTTGATTTTCTGACATGGGCCTCCAAAGAATACTGATAGCTCTTTGGAGGGTTTCAGAAACTCTCACATCGGCCACGGAAGATTTCGATTTCACCAAGCTTTTCTCACTGGCCACGAACAATGAAGCTGCCACCCACTGGGCGGCACGATCTTTTTCATCCATGAAGCGCATCAACCCTTTGGCATTCCTAGATTCATTAGATGTTCAGATGCACTGGCTTCGTGAGATGAGGGAGATGTGGACAGGAGGGTGTTGCTTCCCCATTCAATGGATTCTGAACACCTGTTTGCAACTCCTGAAGCCGAACACTTCTTTGGCGTTTTGGTTCACTTCACTAGAGAAATGCCTGCGGCCAAAAAGCCACAGGCCACCCAAGTCTGATCAAGTTTCTGTTAACACAAATGAAACTTCATGGGACTCATGAGACTAGACCTAATCCATTTGGGCTTTGTAGTTCCAAATCTTGATCCGGCACACTGGCTTTGAGGTGTTGTTTCCTCTTCCAAACCGGTCTCCAGCTGGGCGCTGAAGGTGCTAGAGGGGATACCTTGAAGTGTACCACCTATGTAGCTGTAGCTCACAACCCAGACCCTAATCCCTGCTAGTTCAACCATGTCTCGAAGTCCATTTCCGTTCATCTTCGGACCATCAAAATCCAAGGCCCGGTGTTCTGGTGGGCTCTTACGGCTCTACACCCACCAGCCATCCATAACGTGACTCATGGACCGACCTCTAGGGCACCGTACCCCCCCACCCCCTCCGGTCCGTACCGGACCCTCTGGGTCGCTGGGCCCCCCCAGGAGTCCATGCGGCGCTGGGGCTCCCTGGAGTCGGCGATCCTCGCGGCCGCTCGGGTGAAGCGGGTCGGGTGCGCGCCCGGGGCGTCCGCTCGGGCGAACCGGTGGCGAGCGGGCAAAGCGGTTCGGGCAGGGTCGGGAGGGGGGGGGGGAAGGTTCGGCCGAAGCCCCAAACCAGGTTCTCGAGGGTGCGTGGCGCGCCGAGCCATTTGGGTAGTCGTTGTGCTTGGGGTGTGTGGGCCTGGCCGCCAGGCCTTGCGGTCTAGGTCTGTCATTAAGGTGATAGGTTCGGTCAGGCTGTGTAGGAGTTTCACTCGTGTGTCTAGTCCCTTTAGCAAGTCCAAGGTGAACAAATCATCAAGTTGATCATGACCAAAATCCTTCAGTGTGAAATCTTTTTTGTTGCCCATCTCAAACTTCAATCCACCTTTGAGATCCGGTGGACTGCCTCCGGTGTGATCAAAAGCTGCCGCAAGCGGCGCGACAGTGCGCAGCTGCAAAAACCATCAAAAACCAATTGGCCTCATGGCAACCAAGTTTGGGTTGACGATAAGGGCTTCTCTTCACCCCACTGACCCCTTATTAAGAAAAACTCGGTCGCACATTTTTAAATAGAGGGTCCCTGAAATCGGGGTGGTCCAAAATAGAGTCACCTGGGAAGAGCTTCAAAACCAAAATGTAACCCAGGAACATTTTATATAAAGTCCTTTATTAAACTCTCGTATCAAAAATTCAAACAACCTCCAGATCGAAGGGTCTTCCTTTTCTCCTACAAAAACCTTTTTTAGAATACTGATTCTTCATTAGACTAACAACTAAAGCTTTTGAAAGGTGATGTCGCTGTGCCATGCGGTTTTGCGTGACCTCGCGCGAGTCCGTGCCATTGGGGGAAGGAAAGCCTGCTGGTGTAAACGCGGCGTGTCATGGTGGATAGACAGGGCTGACAGAGGTGGGCAGTTACGGTTGTTTTTGGAACCTGATTAAAAAAACTACCCCCAAAATCGACCATGTTGGTAGTTTAGTAGCGGCTTGAAAGGGCGGTAATTAAACACAAATATATAAACCGTATTTAGGGTATTTCGGACATGGTGTTTTTAATTGGGGAGGCTATTTAAGTAGGTACTCGGGATTAGTGCTGAACGGGCGGGAGGGAGCTTCAGAAACCCATTCGCCGTCCACAGGAGGCACAGAAAGACGAAGCACATTTTTTGGAAGTGTGGACTTGATTACGGGCTCGTGCACAGAGATTTCAGATTGCACTTTTCAGTGCGAATGGGCCGGGGAAGAGAGGAAGTTGTCTGGATTTTGTTTGGATTGTTTGAAACTGCATTCTGCAAAGAACACCCGTTATTGGACACTGAAACCTTGGCTCTTTGGCTTTGAATTCTTCCGGTTCTTTCATGGCCTGGATGGGTTTGCGCAAGAAAGATGATTGTCAAAGTGCATGTGGTGACATTTCAGGATCGAATCCACGCCTGTATCCATGACTGGTGAGAGATCAGGAATTGACTAATTCCCGAACCCACACCACCCGTGGGCTGTCGGCAACAAATTATTACCATTGTGTTGCCTTGCCAGTCACAGCGCAGGGCTTTGCGAGTGTCTCTGCCACCTGATCACCTATTTGCCGAAAAACAGGGGTGTTTTCCTTTACCACTTCAGCCCTTTCTTGCATGACCTTGGCTGACCCTGCTTTCTGCGCCAGAAACTTTCTGGATGAAACTCTTTCTCTAGATCCATCTCTGGATAAAGCAGATAGCTGCATTTCTTGGCATGCCTGTGTGGGCCTGTGGTACTCATCCAACGCTACAACCTTTCATGCATTCGGCACGACTGACTAACATTCACAGCGCGGCATCCGCAAGAAAAGAATGAGCGGCTTGCAGCAGAGCGGTGCCTTTTGGGAATCACTGCCATCCTTTGACATGGCTTCCTCGCTGTGCCGGGCAATGGTGCCCTGGATGTGGATATCCTCGTTGAGGAGCAGTGCTTGGCCGCAGGGCAATGGCATGACACGGTGTCAGCGGCGAAGATCCGCCAACAAGCCCGGACTTTGAAACTAAACTTTTCGGGTGGAGCCGCTTCTCATCACCAAGGCGCATCCACAACAGAACCAGCTCTCCCTGTGGGCGTGCGCAAAGCTCCGAACTGCAAGCTGGGTTGCTTGCCTGAACATGGGGTCGCCAGGAGCCGAGCTGTTGGTCAGCTATGGGGATGAGTATGTGCTTCCACTGCTGCCGCCGAAGGAGCATCCCTGAGCCAGAGAAGAGGGCTCGCAAGTCAAAGGCCAAAGCACACCGGCAGGGATGAGGCGACACAGCGACCCCAGCGCGTACATCCCAGCCGAAGGCGCCAAGGAGAAAGACGTGGATGGCTCTCCCGCGATGAAGCAGAGGTGTGAGAACGACCCGAAGCAGCGGGTCACAGGCGTACGACGCTCGAGAGAAGGTGTGAGGAAAAGATAGAAAGAAACAAGGCGAGCCCGCGGACCCAAAAGCAAAAAGAAGCGCGCAACCCAGGAAAAATAAACGAACACACATTAAGGCCAAAACGAAGCATCAGCCCCCTCGGCAACCATGATATTTCTGTTTCATTTTTTGGCATAGATTTCCGGTGGCGTGCGTCGTTGGCATGATCAGGGCGTCGATATGGCGGAGATATCCCAGGAGGAGAGGATTTGTCGCTTGCTTTTCTCGAACAAACCTTTGAGTGGGCTTCGGTCTTTTGTCTTTACACCGGCATAGACCCTAGATAGAAATATCGTTGCAGTAAGAAGAAAACAAGACGGTTCCCTTTTTAGTCGGGTTGGAGGTTGGATGTATTATATATATATATATATTCTGTCTGTTTTCAATCCCTGCAGCTAGTCTCCAACCCCAGTGCAACATGGCTTCTGACAACCGTTCCAGGAAGCATGGAGCAGCATCAGCCCCCTCCATGCTTCGTTCCAACCATCCAATTTAACGCATTGCGCTTTTGGCACGCAACAATCCTGCCGGGTCGGCCATGACTTGACTGTCTGGCGCATGCATTGTGCACATTTTGGACACCCAACACCATCGTATCAGCCCCGCAACACAGCTCCACTCACCTCCCAACGGGCTTCCGCGAAGCATGGAGCAGCGCTACCCCCACCTATGCTTCGTTCTACATTGTGCACTGACCCGGAGCAGCCTGCAATGATGCTTGTGGTGCAACCATGTGCTCGACGCAACAATCCTGCCGTTTCGGCCACGACTTCACTGTCTGCCGCATGCATTGTGCACATTTTGGACAGCTCCACTCACCTCCCAACGTGCTTCCACGAAGCATGGAGCAGCACTACCCCCACCCATGCTTCGTTCTACTTGTGCACTGACCCAGCAGCCTGCAATGATGCTTGTGGTGCAACCATGTCCTTGTAACTAGCATATCAGCCGCGCAAGCGTCCACACCCATGCCATGCACAATGCACCTCCCGTCTCGCTCCCCTCCATCTTCCCTCCCCAGCCCCGTCCCCACCCATGCGCCTCCCGTCTCGCTCCCTTTGCAGCCCCGTCCCCATCCATGCGCCCCTGTCCCCACCCATGCGCCTCCGCTTCCCCGTCGCCCATGCGCCTCCAGTCTCGCTCCCCTCCATCTTCCCTCCTCCCGTCTCACTCCCCTCCAGCCCTGTCCCCACCGATGCGCTTCCCTCCATCTTCCTTCCCCACCCCCGTCCCCAACTATGCGCCCCGTCTCGCTCCCCTCCATCTTCCCTCCCCGTCCCCACCCATGCGCCTCCCGTCTCGCTCCCCTCCATCTTCCCCAGCCCCGTCCCCACCCACGGCCATAGCCCCAGCACCCAATCTCCAATGTGCAAGCAGGCACCTCTTCCCACACTTGAGGGAAGAACCCCAATAGTTCATGCTATGTGGGAAAAACTGCAGTGTGTGAGTCAAGCTTGGAGGTTTGGAGTTCGCGTGTCGCTGTGGTCCAATCGCGCTGTTGAATGGGACTTGTTTCTATGACTACTTGTGACTTTGGGAACAATAGTGAGTGAGTTAAGTTTTGTCACTTAGCTCCTATTAGTCCATGGATTGAAGAGAAACTGCAGGGCAAACATGACAATCACTATGACAGAAGTGCCAGTCATCAGGCTGCTTCTCCCCTGATGTTTTCCTGCCCACGTCTTGATGGTTTCCCCCACTGTTTCGTTTCGGTCAAGTTTGCTTGGCGAAGCACCGATAGGGCTCTGAAGACCTTGGAAATCTTGGGAACTTCGACCTTCTAGCTGTTGCAGAGGGAGGGAGCGACGGCTCAGGGAGCATAAGGGGCTCATTGGATGGAGTTTCCATTGGGTCGGAGGTGCTGCCAAGAGTTTTCTGATTGTGGCGAAGGGGAAAGTCCTGGTCATCTGGGGCGCAGACCCACTGCAGGCACAGAGCTTGAATATCCAGTTCTTTCCCATTCAACAGGGAATCCTTCGGAACGACCACAGGAGTTCCCCAACCCCTTGCTAGAACTTTGGACACGCCAAAAGAGATGGAGATGGAGGCCCTTTTTTCCACCTCAGGAACCAGGGGATTCTTCCACAGCTGCCCTGAAGGGTCGCGGACTTGCTTTGTCGTTGGAAAACATGTTTACACCAGTGGCGACTTGATCCATTGGGCTAGCCTCGCAACTACCTCACCACCCTTGTGGGTGTTAGGTATTGAAATAGGTCAACCCTCCCATTGTCGGTGTGGTGCATGGGATGTTTGCCATGCCCAGGCTCGCTCCATAGCGCAAGAGGCAGATGAGCTGCCATCCCGAGGCTGCTCACGCCGGACAAGAGTGAACAAGCGTTCTGAGAGGATGTAATGACGGAACCGGTCCCCTTGTGGCAAGGCATGCACCAACAATATGAAACCAAATACAACAAATAAGAACAACACAATGCGAACCAGGAGTTCCCAAGGGGTGCTTCATGGAGGGTAGATGTGCGAAGCCACTCCTTTTGAACTCCTGGAGTTGTTACATTGTAAGATTGGAAGATTTGGACATCCGAAGATGTCTTTGGACGCCCAAACATATACTCATAGGGTCCGGGTAGTATAGGGTCACCCGTTTCCAATGCGATCCTCACCGGATCCTGTGAAGCAGCGAACGAGCACACCTCGAGCATCCGAGACCCAGATCATGTTTTTCACAGTGACGGCGGAGAGAAGCCATCACATACAAGACTTGAAGCAGAGAATCCATCTCTTTATGGGCATGGTTTGTACCCAGAACCCAGCACCATGGCGATCACCGATCTTTCACCGATGCTTTGGAGGCACGGCTGGGGAGCCTCGATCACCGCAGTACAGCAGCATGCGCTTCCTCATCGTCTCAGTGGGGATGGTGGCCAACAACGTCCTACGTCGCACGGCAACAACCCCCTTCTTCCACGGAGACGCAGCGACGACCAAAACCTGGAACTGAGACATGAGCTCTGTATGATTCTGTATTTGTTGTTTGTTTGACCGGATGTTTGACCATATTTTGGCTGGTTGGTCCAAAAAGAGGTCAAAACCCCAGGCTCTAGGTCTGCCCATTTTGGATCCGTGCTGATCCCATCCAACGTGATGCGTCCACATCCATCAGCATTGCCCTTGGACCAGCCCAGGTGCTTGGTGTATCTGCTTCTTCGCCATGCACCGGAAGTACTACGCCGTGCCCGTGGCCGAACCGGAGAACTCCGTTCGACACGACGGACATGGGATAAGTGATGTGAACTGAATCAGTTTGGGCTGGTTTTTTCAGGGGGTGTCCATCTATTCCCATACCCTGGAGTCTTTGGGACTTCGACAGCGGCTTCCGCTGTCCCCCAGCACGGCTTTTGAGACACCGAAAGAGGGACTTGGCATGGGTAATTGGCTTCCGTGCTTTGGAGTGGTAGCGCGGACACTGGGCACTCCAACCTCATGACGAGTGAAGACGGGATGCCCCTTGGCCCTCAAGCGGATGTTGGACCCTGGTGGGGTCCCGGACAGTTCGTCCACTCCCTAAAGCGGAGCTTGGATGATGTTGGACCAGAATTTGGGGCAGATCTCACGGGCAAACCCAAACTGTGTGCCACTTCCCATTCTGCCACTTCCCAGGTCATTTGGCAGCTCTTCTTCGAGCCCCTTGACACTGCCGGAGCGGGAGCGATGAGGCGAAGACCAGGTTTGCAAGCATCCAGTTTTGGTTCTCCAAAAACCAAAGTGTTCACCACCTGGTTTTGGCATGTCTGGGCAGCTTCGGGTGGATTTTCACGCCGCCAGGGATGTGGAATGCTCGGTGAAACTCCAGCAACTAATTCATTTGGTGCCAAAACGAACAACTGGACCAAGAGAGGATGGCAGCTTCTGGACTTTCAAGAGCACACCCAACTTTGTTGCAGAATGGGGCCACCAAAACAATGAGACATCAATTCCTGTGTCCGCCCAAACACCAAAGTTCAGTATTCCAGGTTGTGACCATCGCATTTTCGTTACAAGTTGATGTGTTTCAGTTTGCTGCTGCTGATTCTGTTGTGGTGGTGGTGGTCGTGGTCGCGATTATGGTTCTCGTCACCGCAGTCGTCGTCATGTATGGTTTGATTTGTTGGTGTGTGATATTCTCTTAAACACACACACTTAGGATATGGTGTACGGAACTGAAAGCGGTGCCACACGCCGGCCTAGGGTTCCAATTCCTAAGAGTACATGTACGAACCACGGGATCCTGGAGGTCTTCAAGAGGAAGTAGGGCCCAAAAGGAAAGGAACGAACGAACGACGGATGACCAGGCTGACGGCGTGTCGCTCTCATCTGCAGGTCAAAGAAAACATCAAATCTGAAACTCTGTAACTCTTCGAGGTTCTTGGCTTAGCCTCATGCCATTCAGAACGGAAGGAAAATGGCAGGTACGTCGGAGTGGCCAACTCCGATATCACCAGATCAAATGGGTGTCTTCGTTGGTAGCGGTCCCAAGTGATCTGCCGCTACCCCTGCTTCAAAATGAAAAACCAAGGTTCAAGTCAAAACCAAGGTTCAAGTCGAGACCAATCCGAAAGGATCCCTATGACTCCAAGGGTTACACACACACACACATCGCAAGCACCCTCAGTATCATATCACTGTCGCTGAGATGGGTTTTCAAACGCACGAATAGAGCAGACTTCAAACATCTATATGTCGCAAGAAATGTCACAAGTACTCATGAGTGTTCATCAAACGATGACACGCACCTCCTTGAGAAGTACCGTACACAGACCGCAAGATATCGCAACCGTGCTCAAGAGCTTTTCAAAGCTTCGCAAAGCTTGTGACGTTTCTTGTGGAACTAACTAGGACTGGCCCCTCCCCAGTCCTCCGTGTATCTCCCCTGGTGGCGAAAACCGAGGTTGTTGGGTTTCCTCTTGTCGGTGCATAACACGTTCCGCGATGCCGACGTCTTGCGGAAAGTGCGGCAGAGCCATTGCTTGGCCAGCTGTGGCTGGGCTCTCTTTGCGCTGATCATCCTGGGACTGTTTCAGGCTCGCCCAGCGGAACGCCGCAGGAGTGAACCAAGGAACGTCCCGCGGAACGTCCCGCGGACCTCGCGACAGGGGGCGCAGGACACAGCGCGACATGCCGATGCTTGGCAACTTCATCTCATAACAAAGAGGGTCTTACAATCCGATTCAGGGGGGTGACATATCATCAAGCCTACTACATTTCATCAACGAGGATCCTCCGAAACATGGCGGGAACCAAACGGTGGCCCGGCCATGGGGACCATTGTGGGACAACCATGGACTACCCCAAAACAGGTGTACCCTGGTTGACCCGCAAGGTGAAGCAACAGAATAAACTAGACTGCGGAGGTGAAGCAACACGGACCACCGCAGGTGAACACGGTGGGCACCGCCCGAGCCTTGGACCCGAACGAAGCGCGAGCGCCGCGAGCGAAGAAAACCAGGTGATTCACGTGAAGAGGGCTTGGGCGCGACAGCTGAGAAGTGCTGAAGTCTTGGAAAGCCTGGAGGATCAGGCACGCCAATCTCGACCGGAAAGCGAAGGATGTCGCAGGTGAGGGATGGATCCACTGGCAGCCTCCAATTTGGAGGAGGTGCACATACAGTATACATAATATGAGATACAGAATTATATATATATATATATATGCAATGTGTATGTATATGAATGTAATGTAATGTAATGTAATGTAATGCAATGCAATGCAATGCAATGTAGTGTAGTGTAATGTAATGTAATGTAATGTAATGTATGTATGTACGTACATGTATACCCAGGACAATCCAATGGGTGTCCAATGGAGATCCCTAAGTGGTGGAGGGTAGTCCATTGGACACCCATTGGATGGTCCTGTATATGTCCATATGGATTGTTGGTCTAAAATGGTTAGCAGATCCGTCACGAAGCCACAATTTCTGGGTTCCCTCCAGACATGTTCTGCCAGTTTCAGATGCTGATGAGCTTCTGGGATGATGACCGCGATGAGCTGGAGCTCTTTGGTAGTGCTTAGACTTTAGGATCGACGCAGCATCCAGATGTCTTTCCTTCCCCGTGTTTTCTCACCGAACATCTATCCTAACAGATTCAAGGCATCACAGGAGCCTAGCAGAATCGGGTGGTGCGGTCTAGGTTTGGCAGCCGGGGGGGCCGGCGGTGGCGTTCGCTCCAGCCCAGCTGTTTTTTCTTCCGGAGCCCCTGGTGCGCCCCTGGTTTTGGGGGGAGCAGAAGTTCCGCAATCGCAAGAGTTGCGCCTTTGGACCGGGGTCCAAGCGCTCAAGATGCACGATGAGTGGAACACACCTACAGCTCGAAGCATCTGCTTCTTGATCACCACACGTGGTTGCCCCACACGCGAGTGCCCGCGGCGTGCACGGCGCTGCGACGCGCAGGACTACATGTGGATCACTCCGGTGCTGGGTGCTGAGCGTGGCTTGCCGGTGGCCATCGTGACCAACATCCCAGCGGTGCCCATCATGGTCTATGCATTCCTTTTGAAGCCAACTGGAGGAAATGAAGGAGAGATGCCCGGGCCATCGGACCGGTCGCGGGACCTTTTGAATCGATCCGCCGTGATCCGGCGACCTGAAGTCTTTTTGGGAGGATTGGCTTCCCCACTCAAATCCAAGAGGTGGAGAAAGGTTCACCTTATTCTTCTGGAGAGACTGAGGGGGTGAGATAAAGAAAGGGTGCTTCCAAGAGACTTTTGGCCTCATCATGACTCCTTCTTGGAGTTGCAGGCCTGCTATAAAGTCAGCCACCAAGGATGATATTGGAACATGTGTGAATCCGTTATCTATTTTGGACCTTTGCACCAAGGATTTGCCAAGCTTGACACTTCACTGGCATTTTCCAGAGTTTCCCTGAGGGAGTCAGAGAGGAACTGAGGTTTTTAGGGGGGCAGCCGCCATATAAGCTGAAAGGGGGTCTGGCCTTCGATGTTCGATGCTCCAGCCGTCCCTTTTCTTCAGCCCCAAACAGCGTCAACGAAGGACATCGATGTGGGGCTGTCTAAGGACGCAAGGACCAAGGACGCAAAGCTGTTCGTGAGAATGTGTGGAAACCCTTTGGATCCGAATAAAGAGGATCCACTGGGTCGGTCGACCTTGATCCGTGCAAAGGTGGACCTACAGGTGTCCATGGATTGGGCATCTCCTCCAGATACCATGGGGGGTTTGATGGACAGATCGAAGGACATCTTGATCGAAGGATTTCAGCCGTCTTCTGCCCAAACCGGCTCAGACTCACTGCCAAAATGTAAAGAACTACGTGTGGCTGCGACTGCTGATCTACGTGCACAGAGACGCCCCAGACTCCCAGACTCAACACTTAAGTATATGAACTCGAAAGCCCTCCGCCCAGCATGGTTCGTCGAGGAAGAAAAAACGTGGGGACCGAAAGTTTTAGCCAAGAAGCAGCAGGAGCATGGCAACCTCTTCTGGAGTATATGAAGAGATGTTGGCTTATATGTGTATACATATTAAATCACTTTTGGATCTTTTGGTTTAACTATTATATATATATATGTTAGATAGACGCGAAACTCAAGCCTTGGGGGGGTTGGGGTTGATTCTTCCTCTTCCTCAGAGGTGCCCTTTTTTTTCAGAACGCCTGGACGCTCGGACGCGTGGACACGCATTGCTTGGCACTGAATCGGGGCCGCGGCAGCGATTCTGAGGCATTGCTTTGACATGAGTTTCTGGAGCACTCAGCCTTCCACCGACCATTCGAGGATTTGGTGGTGCCTTCACAGATGTGTTTGGAGAGGTCTGGGCGTTTGTGGACTCTTGATGGTCTATTTACTCCAGATGATGAGGTTCTCCAATCCATGGACCTGGGGGTTGATGTCTCTTCACCTCCCCACAGTTCGGCTCGGGCGTGGAGCATGTCTGGAGGCTTGAAAGAGAGACCAGCACCGTTCGTTACGGTCAGAGGTCTGGGGATTCTCAGGCGTCATTCCTCTAGCGAAAGGATTCCAGTCTGAAGATATGCTCCAAAAGCATTCAACACAACCAGCGGTTCAGGTCTGAATGGTGCGGAGAAACCAACTGCCAAGACTTACGGACGGGTGGCTTATGGAGAACACACCTGATCCGGCCTCGCTGTGATTGGAGTGGGTGAGGAGACCCACCATGTCATGTACCAATGTACCAGCACCACCCGATTCGGGTGGTTATTGGAAGGAAAATACATGGTGCAGGTCTGTAAACCATCCTTTTCATGGTGCTAGTGCTGGTATATATATATATATATGTATACATCATCTTGTCAGTTTTGAAGGGCACAAGCTTTTGAGGGCAGGCTGGTGCCATCCAAAACCATCCAGATTCCAGAAAACACGTGGAGCCTCCTGGGGGTGTGATTTGGGCCTCGGGGAGCACTTGAACCAGCTGCTGACGTCCATGGTCCACATGGACGACGAGGGCTCAAAGGAGGTCCCTGGAGTCCTGCCGAGACCCAGGTGTGAGCCGAAGACCAGGCTTGAGACCTATGTGCTGGGCTTTTCCATCCTGTCTCAACTCTTGGTGATCTCCTTCTCCGTGGCTTCGTCCGAAAACCCGGTCTGAGGCACCAGACTAGCTGGGCGGAGTTTGGGGTGCGGGGATGGGAGACGAGCTGACTAGACCGGTGGGGAGGCTTGGACAACATCTATGGTTTTGGGTCGGCCCCGCCACTGGTGGGTTCAGCAAGAGGAAGTGGTTCACCGGGTTCACGTCACGTGATTCCTCTGCTCTGGGGAGCGCTGATTGTGGGGGCGGCGCTCCTCACCGGTGTGTTGGAGGCGGTCCAGTTGGTTCACGGTCTACATATCTCTACCTGGTCGAAGAGACCAGATTTCCAGCAGATTTGCTCCTGGTAGTGCATGGTAGTGCAGGTCAACCTGAAACCTACACAGACACGGAACAAGGGCAGGAAAATGGGATTTTTGAACGGGCACCCCGCCATGAGGAACTTCTGGTTGGGCAGAGAGTTCGTCAGTTCCGAAGTTCCGACTGGACTGGACATGAAAAAGAACCAAACAGGAGCCAGATTCAATTGGTTGGGCTGCCTGTGAGATCCAGTTTGGATGATTTCTTCAACGTTTTTCGCTTTTTCCTATGGCAGTGTTTGGTTCAAAAGCTCATCCAGGAGCTCCCAACATCTACAACTTCTGTAATCCAACCCTTTGCATTCATAGAGTTCGACACCTCCAAAGTGAACTAACCAATAGTATAGGGCATATGGACCATATGGTACTTCCAGCATTGACTCAATCGCTGCCTGCACGCCCAACCCCTCGTTCGTCTTCGGCGCCATGGTGAGACCCGTCCGTTCCGAAGTGGTGTGGGGTCCGAAAATCAGGGGGTGGCTGAGTCCAAAACGGACACCCTTCCTATTTCTTAATATATATATATATATACATCATACTCATCCTCTTGCACCCCAAAGACTTTTGGGACCCGAAGGGTGCACGTGAGGTTTTGGTCGGGCAGGTTTGGATCCCCCCCGGTTCGGTGTGAGCTAGGTGGTGGACGTGGACATTGGCACCAGCGCCTTCTTGGCGCGGCGTTATGACGTGAGCCGCAGCATGCAGGGGAAGACCATGATGCTGAGGCGCCCAAGTCTGCTTGTGTGGTTTGGTTTTAAAGGCTTTGAATGGACGAGCTATGCTGAGATGTGATGGGAAGGGGCCTTCATAGCATCAAATGGCCCCAACCACACCACCACCGGCTCAAAGCACACGATCCCTGGCCCCCGAGCGAGAGGAAAACACGTGTCGTTCCTCATCCTCATCCCAAAACTCCACCACCCAAGCACCACCTCCCACCTGCGGTGTCACGATCCCCCCACACCATCCCTTTCGTGTGGTGTTCTCAACAGTTCCTGGTCCCGCCCTGGTCCGATCCCTCTCTCGGTGGTCTGCAGGTTGTATCCCTTCTTCCATATCTTGGGCCGCATCAGCGAGGTCATGGCCCGCATCGCCATGTGCCCGAGCCGCAATCGCCGAAGACCGAGCTGAGCTGCAGAGCTTCGCGCGCGTCCGACTCGACTCGGGGGGTGTTGTTTCGTCCCAGGTGCGGATTGACCTCGTCATTGGGGTGGTTTGTGTGATAGTATGTTATAGTGGGGTGGAGCTGCAAAGTGCAGGGAATTCGGAACCTACTAGCAATGGCCTCCAAGCTAAGAATGGTTTTTTTCAAGGCAGGTTTTAGGAGATCAAGGGGTGAAGATGAGGGCGATGTGGACTGTTGGTGATTGCGCTAAGGTCGAGGCTGGCTTGAACAGCTGAAAAACCAACCATTAAGCTGCAACCTTTCTGGCCTCAGTTTGTCACATCCCAAAAGGCCCCAAGTGCAGAAAGCTTCTTAAGTTGAGACAGATCCAAGGGTCCGGAGCCATGTTGAGCAATGTTATTTAAGCCATCGGAAACAACACACACACATATATATATATTATATATATATAGTTATATACCTGGAGCTTGAGTGACCGCTATTTTGGAGAAGCAACTATCCCCCTGCAGGACCATTCGTGCTAGAAATTTATGTACTTTGGTCCACCGTAGCACTTCTTCAGACTTCGTATCATAAACCGACATTTCGTAGTACTTTTTGGAGGCTCGTACGTTTTTCTGGATTCGTACTACTTTTTGCCCGCTTGAGCAGCTTTTGGGGGTCAAGCTGCCTAGCAGCTTGCGCGGCCATGATCTTGTGGCATACAGGGGCTATCGTGCGCCCTTACAATGTGAGTCAATGTGCACATGTACATAACCCACAACGCGCGTACGTATTGTTTTTCCAGGTATGTGCTGACGAGGTCTTCAACGGCAAGTGCTGGAAGGCCTGGGCCGCTTTCAAGTTGTGAGCTCTGAACAATGGAGCTTTGGGTGCGTTGTTGAGCTCAACCGCATATTTGTCATGAAGGTTGGCCCAAACTCTAGTTGTTCACTCGCTCTGGCAGCTATGGTGGTTGTGGAAGGTGGGGATGAGCGGTGCCCGGTCATCTCGGAATGGCTAAAGATTGAGACTTTGGTTGCCAGAGCATCCAAAGGAAACATTGCGCTTGTCCGGGGGAATTCAATAGATCGATCCACAGTCGCTGACAACTATGAGCTGTTGAGCCCCCTTGTGCAGACCTATGGCAACTAGTCATGAATTCCAAGGCACTTCCTAGCTAAGACTTATACAGTACATCTGTGGCTCACCATTTTTTCTAGTCCCTAAAGAAACGAAACCCAGCTCATGCTTTCCAAGGTATGCGCCCGAGCATTTCACTTTTGGAAGATCTGGCGGGCCGCTTCTTGTTCTACTGCAGGCCTAGAGGAAAACCAGTCCCAAAAAGCAACTAGGCCGGCAAACTAGAAATTGTCAAAGCAGTCTTAGTCTTCACCATGACCAACGTGGAAATAAACAAGTGCGGACACTTGGCCACACACCTGTCTACTCAGGTGATGAGATCAAGACTGAAGCTTGGGTACTTCGCAACATGATTTCCATCATTGCTTCGGTTGCCAGACGTCCTCATATCCCTCGCAGCCCGGAGTTGAGACAACTCTTCTCTAGCATTGGCATCCCTATGCAATCTCCATCCGAATCACGAGCTGGTGGAGTTTTAGTTGCACTTGATCACAAAACATGTTGCACAAACATTAAAGAAACATCCGTAAAGAAGAATCACAGACCTGGGAGCATTCAACACTCATTGAGGATCCGGCGACCCCATTGTCGAAGAAGATGAAGCAGGACACGATGAACCTTCCGAGGGTGCTGAGGAAGAACCGCTAACAGAGGACGAATGCATGGAAGAGGCGCCACACACACTGAAGTGTTGTGTCCATGAATGAACGCACTCCATTTTTTGCATGCACTTCGAACGGGAAACCCTGTGCAGGTTGAACCAGGGACGATGTCTTCCACTGCAGGGCCCAAGTCAATGGCGCCAAAGAATCCTGCTTGTGACTTGCCCGCAAGTATGGACAAACATGTTGGAGCTTTGATGAGCTTTGCTAAACATGTTGGAGCTTTGATGAGATATATTTAAGTTTGCCCGTGGACAAAAAGCGCTTCCATATGTGAGCCATGTTCCTTTTCCATCTACCAGGTGTGGGCGATCTGCCAGCAGTTGAGCTGCCTCACGCCTCGCCTCCAATGAAGCGAGCTGTATCCGACTTTCTCGTCACTCCTCCACCTCGAAGTGTCTAGGCTCTTTTGATCACACGTGCCGCTAATGAAACAAAAAATCTTATAGGCCGGCAGGAGTGCTGTAAACATGACTCTCTATTCAGAATGCAGTTAAGACCGAATCCAATGTGATCTAAGGGACTGAATACTCTCCCTTGACTGGATCCAAGCCATCTCCGCATGTTGCTGTGAAGTGTGGCTTCAAGTGCATCGACTGTCACCGAGCTCACATCAATTCGGAGAAGCTTTTGGAGACTCCATGTTCAGGGAATGCTGAGGGACTACACCGGATTCTGAAAAAATCCATCATGTGCCAGAACTGTGATTCTACTAGTGACTGCTTGGAAACCTTCCTGAAGGAGCCCTGTCCAAGTCCTGCCAAGGCCCCTGCGGACCATTTGTCTCCTTGTGATCCGGTGAAGCCTGAGCCTGCACCGAAGCGAACCAGGATCGCTTTGGAACAGGCAGAGGTGGAATTGACCCGTCTGTTGTTTTTGAAAGGCTTGGAAACAGAACGTGCACAGCTACAAAACCTGCTCTCTTCAAAGCACCAATCTATGACTGCGACTTCTGGTTCCGAGGCAGCATGTAGATGCATCAAGTCATCATCAATCATTTAAGGAAGTTTCTCCATGACTCATGGCATGAAAGTCATAGCGCTTGCACACAAACATTCATTATCTCATGTTCTGTCCAAAAGCTGAGGTGTTGACAACATTGACACGCAGCCTATGCTACCATCAGAGGCCGCCATCTACGCTGCGGCCTACAAGCCTGTGACTGACAAGACACCCTCTTTCCCAGCCTCTTCTGCAAGAGAGAGCCCAGCTGGTCATGATCCTGCACATGACAAGGCTGTTGCATGATACTTTCTCATCGATTGACCATTTGCATTAATCACCTTGCCAAGCTATTGACTTAGTGGCCTATAGCTATTATATATACGGTCGATTTGCGATGCGCTTTGTAGGCTGCTGAGCACGCTACACCTACGGCTATTGCTGCTGCGACGGAGACGATGGAGATTGTCAATGCCTCTGTCACACCTTCGCCAACAGTTGAACATACGGCTGCAACCCGGGTGCCAGCAATTGAAGATGCTGCGGCCCCTGTGCCGGCAATTGAAGAGCAAGCAGTTGAAGATGCTGCCGCCCCTGCGGCCCCTGTGCCAGCAGTTGAAGATGCTGCCACTCGGACCCTTGAGAATCTTGGGGATGACAACGGGTCAGACAAAAGGCCTGCTTCAGTCGACAAGGAACCATCCATCTCTCCAGCAGAGCAAACCAAGCTAGCTGGGATGAACAAGGAAAACAAGAGAAGGGGACGACCTCGCAAGAACAGGAAGAGTAGCGCTGAGCAGAAGACAGGCGAGCCAGAGAAGAAGAAGAAGAAGGAAGCAAAGAAGACTGCAGCCCCTGCTGGTAAAGCGAAAGCAAAGGCAAAAGCGAAAGGCAAGCCAAAAGCAAAGTCGCTCGCTGATGCCAAGCCAGAGCAAGATGCTGAGTCCGTCAAACCCAGCCGCAAGCGTAAGACAACGCCGGCCAAGGGTGAGGAGGAGGTGGAAGAGCCGCAGGGTGCAGCAGGTGAGACATCCGAGAGTGGGAAGCCTGACAAGAAGTCAAAAACCAAGAAGCCAAAGCCCACCAAGACCAAGGCAGCTGCCAAGGGGAGCGGTGGCGAGGCCACGCCGGATCCTTCGAGCAGTAGGCTTGAGAGCAAGAAGAAGAATGCTCGAAAGTCAAAGGCCTATAGGAGAGCTCAGAAGGAAGCCAAGGCCAACGGCTTAAGTGCCGAGGAGTGTGCCGCTGCTGGCAGAAAAGCATCCTAGCTAAATTGTATCATTTTTGTTGTAAGTGTGGTTCCATGTTTAGGTTGAATGCTTTGGTTTGTTGTGTTTGCTAGTTGCGCGTCTAAGGCATATGCTGAGACCGAGTGAATGCTGGTCGAGTTCTGTTTTTGTGGCTTGCGATGTTCAAGCCAGGGCCCATGAGCTTGTTGTGGACTTATAAGAACAAAATCATCAAGCTGTTGCGTATCGAATCATCTTTGGGCTCGATATCTTGCGATCTTGGGTATGTTCACGTGCGGGTATCCACAGTGATCCTCATGAACACGTGATTAGGGGGTTGTTCTTATGTTCGTGGCTGCAAGGGTCCTAGGACCTGGCCCTTGCTGGCTAACAGCACATGGAAAAAGGCAAGCCTCAATCTTTCCAAATCCATTGAGAGGAGCTTGTGTCACGTGCGAATGTCTATACGGATTCCACCCGGTGCCAGGCGCTACTTCTTCGATGGGTTGGAAGATCCGGGCAAGGATCAAAGGTGCGTTTCCCGCGGTGCCCTTTGTCACGCAGTGCAGCTGCCATTCAACTGTTGCACTTCCGTTGAATGCCAATCCTACCGGGGTCAGCTGTGGCCCAAACTAGATTGAGACTCTTCGGGGATTAGTGATCCGAGCCATGCCTGAACAGTCTGTGGTTAGATCGCTGTTGCAAGTAAGGGCACCAAAAGCCAGGGGCTCATTCTTTATACGATATACGATACAGTATGCAGTGACTGTGCATGAACACATTTCTTTGGTTCTACACGGTCTGTGCGTTTGTGAGGTCTTTCTGGCTGTGGCAAGGATCTTAAGTTCAGCCTCCCCACGATCACCGCTTGCTTGCAAATCTGAAGATTGATAAGAACACTCAAACCAAAACAACCAGGACTGATTCAGCCAGTCTTTGTGGGAGCCGGGTTGAACGAGGTTCTTTTGCTCACGTGGAACGACCGCTTGAGCTTCGAGCCCCCTTTGTTGGAGAAG